ATTCTAATAATGTCTAAAAGTTTAATATACGTATTTCAGCGTAATTTCATCTAAGAAAAATTTAATTTACTACGCTTGCTAAGGGCTCGTTAAAACACAAGCAATTACGATGTTATACAAGAAACAAGACTTATAATTGAATCTTTAACCGTGTTTATTTTTAATTAAAAACACGGCCTTCGCAATGTATAATAGAAATAAATAACTAATCATATTTTAAAGAATACTAGCTGTAGCCCGCAACTCCATCCCTGCAGATAAAAAAATTAAGTATCCTATGTATTCTTCCATCTATGTTCTACACCTATGCCAAATTTCAGCTAGATCAGATGTTCAGCCGTTCCAAAGATACCTTCAAAGAAACATCCATCAGAGAAGAAACATCAATCCGAGAACTCAAATGTGTTCATGTATTGTCATTGTCTATCTTCAGGCTGGACTTCTGAGGTATTCGTACAACAGATCGACACAACCGACGAAAAGTGTTCGTCGTCTCTTTATCAAATTCCTTACGATATGTAACTCTTTTCGTTGGATGAGTTAAGATATTGCCGCGGATGACTATCCCGTTGTTAAAATAGAAAATTTCATCTATAATCTTTTTTAAAAATAGAGATTTTTCATGTGTACTTTTTTTCTAACGTGTTTTTGAAATGTGCATCTTTTGTTGCGAGTAAACCGTAAATGATAAGAGAAATTCCGATGTCTAACAAACATTAAAGTGTCATTTGCCAGCCGTGGAGTAGTATCTCATTCTGAACACAAGCATTTAGAGATATTGAGACAATTTCATAATTTATTTGTCACGTTGTTATCTTAAATGATAATATCGAACGAAATAAACATGTTTGGTAATAATTAAAATGACTTTCCTTCATTTGTTTACCAAAAATAGAGAAGAAAAATGAATTTAAATTATTATATGTACTTTAAACAAAAAATTAAACTATCTTTATGAAATTCATCTTTTTACACTATATACTAGAAACTACAGAAGTAGTCAAAATAAATAATGGAATTAGAACGCATTAAAATGACTAAACCCATAACAAAGACCTGAAATAACGCGCGCGTAAATTTATATTCGCTTTGTCACGTAATCACACACGCGAGGCGGGCATTACTTCGTTTGTTTTGTTTGACTGTGAACTACATTACAGACCTGTTTACTGAAAAAGTTTAGTTAAATATAAAACAATATTATATAATAATCTATTTTACTCTACAAAATTCTTTAAAGATATAAATGGTCGAAATTCAACATACGCTTATTTTATAGCAATGTTTACTTACGTTACTTTGCATGCTTTTTGACAGAAGGCGCCAAAAAGTTGACTGGTTTATTTTTTAATTTCTTTTCGATTTTCTATCCTTATAAACAAATAAGTGGCAATCTAAAGGTGTTCTATATAAGCAATGTTTTATATAATACACTGGAATATCGTACAAATAGGTTTCCAATTTAACAAAATAACGCCTGTAAATTGAATAGTTTCAAAATTAATTATTTTATGGCTTTAAATGGGCTGGATATCAATAAACCGCACTCTATCGGTTTTCATCAATCCGCCTTATACAATCAATTTAAATTAATGAATGATAATTTGTATCTTATTTATTGAAAAACATGATTATATGATTGATCCCGTGAGTATTTTATTTAGCTAACGAGTTTTTTCTTTACTAAGGCGCATGTAACATCTAATAGATTTTATTATTTATAAAAAATTTAATAGTTTTCTTACATACATCTGTCCTATATATATATAAAAGAAAGTCGTGTTAGTTATACTATTTATAACTCAAGAACGGCTTTACCCATGGTGAAAATTGGGGAGGAGGTAGCTTAGTGCCAGTGGAGACAGTGGAGACGAACATATACTATTTATTCTTTTTTTTTCGAATTTATGCCATGAAGAGCTGCTTTGCATTTAACTTACTAATATTATAAACGAATGTTTAGATGGATGTGATGTGGATGGATGGGTGTTTGAAGATATCTCTAGGACGGCAGAACGGATCTCGATTAAATTTGGCATACGTATAGAACAGTCTGAAAGAATACATAGGCTACACTAATTAAGTTTTTTCATATAATATATCCACACCGACGGAGTCGCAGGCGACAGTTACTACTATAAATAATTTATTTAAATTCAACATTAAAATATAACTCTTATATATGTTAAAGTATGTTAAACATTTTACAATGAACCTTTTGACGAAACGTGTTCACTTACCAAAAACGAATAAATCTGTCTACATTTCGTAAAAGAACATGACTTAAAACAGACAAAAGTATATTTATGTAATATAACCAGAATAATTACTTTATATTTTAATTCGCAACATGCCAAGTAAAGTCTGAATACGGGTCAACAGACCTCGCGTAAATTTAATTAGCCTTTTCCTTCGTAAACCCGTTATGTTTTATTTAAGGATCTTAAAATATATTTACACTTAGCAACAGTTTAACACGTGGCTCACCGCATGTTCAATTTGAGTCGATAACCTTCGTGATTCTTAACACGAGATGAAACCATTAAATATATGTTGTGTCACTCTGACATTGCAACTAAATTAATATACGCTTTCAATGTCGAATTATTTCTATACAAATATATTTTCCTCCCTTTCATTATCTTCAAGAAATACAGAGACAACAAACATTATTCAGCGTTAGACTTAACATTTTAATAAATACGATTGTTTGGAAGTGGAAAGGCCTCTATTGACTATTAGTACTGTTATGCAGTTAAACAATTTTTAAGGTGAAAATTTAAAGCAATAGGCGTTTCGATCGACCTTAGGAATATTATTTCTATAAAACTATAAATGCTCCGGACATGTCTCATGACATCGCAATACAATATTAAAACAACGGATGTACAAAAACATATTGTGGATTCATGTTTTTTAAATAAAATGAGAGAGATGGAAATATGTTTTTGCATGTTTCAGACGCGAAACCTCACGATTATAAATATCGAATCGTTTAACACTAACATGTTTTTTTTTAATATGAAATCTTCACCTGGCATTCTGGCATAATGAATATTTAAAAAGAGAAACGTCAATTATACTAAAAATATGTCTCTCCTTCCTCAATAATAACGGTGATTTATTTTTGAAAAAGGAACTATGAAAATAATTAACGATAAATAACCAGGCCCTTTCTTTTTTTTTGTACAATAAAAGCTATATTGTAAAAATAGTTAAATCTTGCGGAATGTGGAATGAGCCAATCGGAATTCGATTCTTAAACAACTAATTTCTTTTATTTTATAAATGTCTAGTTAATTCAATGCCATTTTAAAGCAATGTGTTAAATCATTATAATTTTAATGGAACCATACAATTAGTATACTACGAAGAATCAAGGAGAGTTTACGATAATTGTATCGCCAATTGATCTTAAGTAAAAAGTGTCAAGACACACTTGCCCTTGTATGACTATAGATAAATGATTGTCAAGGCGATGTTTATTTACAACAGGTCTTCCATTTATCACGTGATACTCAAAAAGGGGAGGGATTCGGAAAAAAAATCACAAACAATCACTAGGAATAAAATATGTCATGTTTTTATTATTGCATTATTAACTTTAATTTAAAGAATAAATTATTTATATTAAAAAAATACATGTGATTATTGGTATAGAGGCGCGGGGTAGACCTACACCTTCTCAAAACATCAGAGAGGGACTGGGGGCCAAAAAGTTGGTAAAAACCACGTGATTAATGGGCGACCCCCAAATGTTATGGATGAGTGCATTCAATAATATTCTTCAGCCGGCTTAAAAACAGTTCAATGTTATAAAAAACAATCTAAATTTATATTTAAATGTTTAAAAAGTACACTATTTAACAGTGCCTTATACATATTAATCAGAGTAAACGTTTTTGTAACTAAAGTCGATTGACTTACAAAGTTTTCCTTGAAATATTACGTAAAACTCGGACAGGACGTGTATAATTGTTTTAACACATGAATGAAATAAGCTAATAACTATACCTACGCAATCCAAAACAATTCCATTGGGATCATTAAAATGTAATGTTCAATTAACCTTAATCCTAACACTTTAAATTCGATTATTAATTATTTATATTGTTTAATTAATCAGCATTATGATTAACTAAGATCCACATCTCAATGGCGTCTTGGAATTTATGATCTGCTAGTTTAAGGGTCCACGTCTCTGCTGTACAAAGTGTTAAGAAAAAAAATGTTTGGATCAGTTTGACCTTGGTTCCTTTCACTTAAAGAAAAAAAAGTATTGAAAAAAGAAAGAAAAAAAAGAGTGTTTTATTAAACGCAAAAAAGATTAAACCAAAAACTTTATACTAATATAAAATTACATTATGCTTCTGCAGTTCCAAGTCCGACTACTTAATCATAATAAAATTAAAAAATATATTTATAATCCTTAATCAGTGACCTATCTCAAGCTTTTATTTCTTATTTAATTAATTAAAAAAGCCTGTTCACCGTCGTAATAATCTTCAATCATTTAAGGAAAATATTCTACTTTAGTAATATTATTTATAGGCTATTGAAGTGAGCAAATAATATATACATCGGTGACATAGCAAACGTGACATACATGAACATGAGTGATCATTGACACAATGCTAGGCATCAGTGACGGAATGCAAATAAGCATCTATCCCTGTCATCTCAACTATATCTACGACCACACCTAAGGAGCAAGACATTGACATAAACTAAAGATTAAAGGAGAGAACCTTAAAATTACTAATCTAAAATATTTTTTATCGAAAGGCTACTTAGTGACGTATTGTAAAATAAATAAAAAGAAACGCAAATTTTATTTAACAGAATCTTTATTTTTATACTTTTTTTAAAATTTAATCTGAGTTAAAATCTCCCTTAAATCATTATAATGTTTCGTAAACACTGTTTAAAGTGACTAATATTCATTTCATAATGCTATTCTAGTCCCTTTAACTATTAAATAACATAAAACTGAAAACACAACAAAACACGAAAATAAATTTTACGTACCTACAAAAATGCTAGTTCCAGTTTGTTCATTCCGCGGGAAAAAACGTAGAATTGTATCTAAAATCTGACAGCCTCAACAAGGTCGATCATTCGCGTCCCGTGATGGTCAGCTGTACGTTAAAGCGACCATACAACCAATACTATTTACACCGCGCTGCGTGCACAATGCGTGCATTGGAACGTATCGATCTAATCAAAATAATTACTTAATTCGAATCACTAAAAAAAACTTCGTTCTATTTTCAAATAAGATTACAACCGTCAAAATTTGTCTAGTTTGCAACCGACCAGTACGTTTTAATGGTGTTTAGAATTACTAAAAAATGAAGTGTCAATAAAAATAATTATAAGTGCAAAAAAATAATAAAGTTTTTTTATTAGTTGATAAAAGGTAAGACTTTACAGTAAAATTATTTCTAATTTAAATAATATTTTTGATGCTTGTCTATTAATAATACATTAACCTAATATCGATGGCTCAATAAAAAAGTTAAAAAAAAAAGAGAACAACTGTTAATCAATCCAAAAAAATACACTCATCCTCAATGTCGATAATTAAATATTAGAGGGGCTTTGGTAAAAATTATTTAGCAAAATATAAATAACTAATATTATAAAAAGGAAAAAATTGTTTGGATTAATTAGATTCCGATATTACTGAACTGATATAAAAATTCTATCACTATTGGGAAGCTACACTATCCCGGGTGACATAGGTTACATTTGTTACCATTTTTTTTAATAACGCTCCGAGGAAGTCACAAGCAACTGCTAGTAAGTTTCATAAGGCGTAGTAAAATCAAGCAAATGAAAATATACATCCCTAACTGCAATTAGGTTATTTTGGGTATTAAAAAATAAAAATTACAAAAAACATATAAAAAGTTACTCATCTGTACGATATACATTACAGAATAATTCAAAGCAAGACGTGAAATTTAAATTTTCTTAGAAATCAAAGTTCGAATCCAATACTATATATGAATTCTACTAACCGTAACGATTCGAACAAAACACGTGCTCGGAGACGAAAGGAAAACGACGTAAGAATATCAAATACCTGTACGAAATGATTTATTGATAGGCATATGTTTTTAATTTTATCAATAGTATTTCACAAGGTATTGCGACAATGGCAATGTGCTTTTTTTAAAATTTGATGTTACCACATAACAACACGAGAAAACAGGTCATTACCACTTTTAGAATATTTTCGGTGATAATGATTTTACGTTTGTGTAACAGAATATTTAATGTTATATTTATTATTTACAGTTTTTGTAGGTTATATTTTTTTCTTATAATTACAAGAACTTTTTTTAAATAAAGATCGATAATTCTGTTTCGGCTGAAGCGATATTGATCTTTGATAGATGACAGGAATAAAATGTAGTCGAAAACATTTTGCGAGTACAAAATGTGTAATTTTTAATTTCTACTTAGGTTTCATCGCGGGAAACAACTATTAATTGATTTAAATTGACATATTTTTTGTGTCAGCAAACTTTAAAACCTTTTCCAGCATGGGAAACCGTTACATGCTTTGTCTAGTGAGTAGTACTACCAAATACTACGATAACATATCGTAATATATTACCTTTTTGCTGTCAGATCCATTACTTATCAATCAGCATATTTAAACCACAAATCAATAAGATTATTGCAATTAAATAAACAAATGAAAAAGCTCTTAAGCCATGGAACAACCAATGGAAAGTAGAGAGAAGTAACGAAATCCAATTTGGATTCGAATATCTTTCGCATATCCAATATATACTTATTAACAAGCTATCTATATAAATATTTCACTTATGAGACATGGATAAATACTAAGAAAATTTTGAAACAGTACAAGATAGTTGCATGTTTCCTAACGGACTAAATAAAACCTGAGGAGTAACGCGCGAGTATGTTAAATATGCGAACAAGTTACCATAAGTACGTTTACTTTATAATGCAAAGGATGTCTAGACACGTGTGTTACTAAAGACAATTTTTTAAAGAAAACAGGTTTGTTAGAGAAATTGCCAAACACACTTGACGATCAGCAGATATATATTTTTTCTTAATTATGTTATTGGCCAATAACATTAACCTTTTTAAACTGGCCGCCAAAATCAAAATTATGATAGCTTAATTAAAAAAAAATTGTGATTGTTTATCGTAAAACGTGCCAGCATCTTTTAATAGTATAGTATTTAAACCGCACCTATACAAATAGGTAACGAATAAGGCAATTCTTAGCACAGTACTCAAGTAACGTATGTAAGTTGTTTTGTAATCAGTCAATACATGGCAACACTTAACGAACCCTTTTATTGCTTGACGCGGCCAAGGCGTAGAATCATACGTACTAAATTCTGATGTATCACATACAGACATATTCACATTACAACTATTTAATTATTACGATAACTACTAGGATGGCCGAGTCTGTCCTCATACTGTCTGAAACTTTCTGCAAGACATTTTCTTGACATTATTGTTTTCTATAAATTATCTGGCTATTAGCTGTCGCCCGCTACTTCGTCCGCGAGGAATTAAGAAAACTTAATTCTATGCCAAATTTCAGCGAGATCCATACAGCCGTTCTGGAAATACCTTCCAACAAACATCCATCCATCCAAACTCATTATATTAGTAAGATTTCATCTTGTTTAAGTTATATTTTTATAAGCATGCATAAAATTTTACTTTTAATTATAATTACGTCACAAGTCAAAGGTTTACTTTTTAGTGTTGTAGTGTCGCTAAAAATTTTAATCGCCATGTAATCTTCGGCTTGTTAAATTATCATTAAAGGTCGACCATTACCATTTATTCCATTCATATAATATAAATTAAATATGGCAGGAATATATTGCAATTCAAGTTGCCTTCGATGTTACCAGATTGAAAAATAGTCCAGGTTTTAAACTTGAATCTTCTTAAAATTTTATTACGCTCTGTCAAAAGACTGTCAAATCGACATGTATATTTAAATCCACTGCATTAACAGATAACAAGATTAATATGCTTCATTCATCTGACATCTTTTGTAATCTTTAAACGAAAATCTGTGTATGCTATTGTTACTACACGGTGCCTGGGGGCATAAATATCCACTCGTATGCTTCTAATAATGTTGAAAATTTTTGCCGCCATAATTTTTATTTAGAAAAAAATTTATGGTTATAATCCATTTGACATACATATGTTATCAATCTATTCGATTAAAGTTAGTTGACAAATCTACGAATATTGGAAATAAAAATGACATCCAGTTAGTTTTCGATATTATTTTGAAACAGATTTTGAGTAACCGGTTATGATTAATAATTAACATTAATAATAAGACAGATATGAGTTACATTACGAGATAACACGCATTGCAAATGTTACAAGTTTTTGGAATGATAATTTCATAATTTGACCTTGATTTGTTAACTTTAGAAAGTGACCGTGCACCATAATTCGATTTTCTATAAAGTCATGGTGTAATTACAAGTAACAGCCTGTTTATTACAAAAGCTGTGTAACTGGTTATTGTTATACAAATTACGTTAAGATATTTGGAAATATTCGTTACAATTTTAGCTTAATAGTAACGTAGGTTTTTTTTTTGGCGGCGCTATGCCGCCCTCTCGTTCACCTAGTCAAGGTTAAGGACTTGGGGTGCGGGACATTCTTTATTTATAATTTTAAAAAGACCAATTACATAAAACTTAAATTAATATCACATTCGTTTTTAACTTATGTTTCTAAAATATAAAACGAAACAAACTTTGAGGGGTTAGAACTAAGAACTTTTAAGTTCTTGTTGACCGCACCGTAAAACTTATTAGAAATTCAAACAAATAAGACAATATCAATATTAGAGTAAAATTAGTGATGGGAAGTTGTAGCTTTTACTATTTTCAAAATCTAAGATTTTATTGTAAATAAATAGAACGATTATTGTTTAAATTTAAAATAAAGATGAATGAAAACCTGTTTATCAATCCTATCGGACCTATTTCAGCGAATCAACAAAAATTGTAATCAACTAATGTACCAACAAATTATTTTTTCAATACATATTCGGTAAAGTTCAGTTTACATTCGAGGACTCAAGGAATAGGATTTTTTTATCATTATAAGTAAACCTCGAAAACTTTTGTGCATAGGATTTATTTAACGAAACTATTAAATTGCTTGCATTCCGCATGCCAAGTACACATTGTCAGAGACCGTTGTTTACGTTAAATATGTTAAAATATTTCGCATATATTTACAACCACGTGTTAAACGCCCCCATGGCTATGTGAAGCTACTATGGAAGTTTTAAGGCATCATACGGTAGTTTTTATTTAAATACGTACTGTTTACATTTATTAATATTCCTATAAAGGTAAAACACTTCCCTTTTTCTGTGCTCCATACGTCTTGGAACTAAATTTAGATCCCATTTAAATATTTATAGTAGTAGTGAAAGCCCATCTTCTAGTGAGTAACCTTGAATATTATATTATACTAGCGGTCCGACAGACGTTATCCTGTCTACACGTCTTTAATTTGAATAAATTAATATGAAGTTAATATTTGATGAAAATTGTGAATCTAAACCATTCCCAAATCCCCTTGAACACACACAAAAAATTTCATCAAAATCGGTCCAGTCGTTTGAGAGAAGTTCAGTGACATACACACTCACAGAAGAATTATATATATAAAGATTTATTTGTCCAACTTTTAACCTAAATATGTTAAGACCAAATGTTAACTTATATTTCATATTCAAATTAAATAGTAAACTTATCGTAGCTAAAAATAGACCACTTGCTAAATTGTTCAGTCTGCATTCTGTTCAAATTTTAATGAAACACGTTTTTTGCGAAAACCATGTTTGTTATGAATTCTCACATCCACTTGACTCGTTATGTGACGTCATTATAATAATTTTGAGAGGCCTTGAGTTACTAGGTGACGGCCGTTCCCATGATAGGCTTGCAGATTTACATTTTAAATGCTCTGGGTGTGTGCCCATCTTTAAAAAAAAACATAACTGGTTCTACCAGAAACATAAAAATGTTTACGTCAACATTCTTTATATTTCACTAATTGTCGCCCGCGACTCCGTCCGCGACTCCGTCCGCCCGGAATTAAAAAAAAAACTTTTGGTCGCAGCGTAATACTATATAGCCTAAAGCCCTCCTCTTTAAATGAACTATCCAACAAAAAAGAATTTTTCAAATCGAACCAGTAGTTCCTGAGATTAGCGCGTTTAAACAAACAACCAAACAAACTCTTCCGCTTTATAATATTAGTATAGATAATTTGATCGGGTATATCTACGACGTAATTATAAACAACGCGTAAATATAATTTTCATTTACGAAGTAAAGTTATACAATATCTACGATATAAATATGTAAATTGTGATATAAAACCAAAATATAACTAGACAATACACATTAGATCTTCAAAGATTTACATTGTGTGTACAAAGGTGGCAATTAAATTGTAAGAGGTCTTGTCTATCCGTCATACTATATGAAATCGGCTTGTAAACACAAGATAGTTAGCGTTCCGAACCGAAATCGATATTGAAAAAGGGCCATAAGGAAAATACCCTCGTCTGAAGCTTGTAAAAGTGAAAACATGTAAATGTGGAGAATACAATCTTGAAGTGAGTGAATAGTTGTGTAAATTCTATTCGAATTTCCAAATTGTAACTGATTTTTCATTTTATTTTTCATTGTTTACTACTCTATCGAAGAACCCTTCAATTATCTTCGTAGATCGTATGTGGTATTGCAGAATTTGTCTTGTTATTTCAAAGAGAACGTAAGATTTAGATTCAATGGGCGCAATGTGAGGCGATTGACTGATAAGTGTCCTATGAGACCGGCAAATGGTAATTTGTATGCGTACCATAGGAACAGCTGAAGTACTATTGTAGCAACGGACGACCTTCGAATAGCTTCGTTACAAATAAATTCCAAGTAGCTAGCTAGCCCTCCGTGCTAAAGTTATAAATCCTCGCTTAAATTAATTGAAAGTGGAATAGATTGAACAATATATCACGTTGCTTTTGAATAATTACAAAGTTAGCATATTTTCAAGGCTTTAGTTTTCCAAAAATTTCCAACACGTAGTTTTATCGTTATTAATTAAGCCCAATATTTTTGAAAAATCTCCATCGAATACAAAGGCATAGACTTAAAACTATTTCACATTATTTTTTTATTTTTGTGCAATTAAAAAAAACATGGTAAAATTTAACCGTTTTTCATTTTTTGCAGGTATGATAAACCGTAAACAACATGCGATGGGTATTCGTAATTATATTAAGTTTGTGTGTTTCATATGCGAGTGAGGTGTCACAAATATTTGACTTTTGGACGAATTTATTCCGGCCTCTACCTCGAAATCCCAAAGAAGGTTTCGTACCGGATTACACACCCAAATACTTGGAACAATTCGATTTTATTATAATCGGAGCGGGATCGGCAGGCTGTGTACTAGCAAACAGACTGACGGAAGTACACGATTGGAAAGTTTTAGTCCTAGAGGCCGGAGGCAATGAAAACTTTTTTTCAGATGTCCCAATATTTGCTCCTTTCCTTTCCCTTACGCCTTTGAATTGGGGATATAATTCGGAGCCGGAACAAAAGGCGTGCAGAGATCTCAGAGGGAACGTTTGCTTTATGCCTCGGGGCAAAGTTCTCGGTGGCAGTAGCGTATTAAACTTTTTAATATATCAAAGGGGACACCCGGAGGATTACAACGATTGGGCCCGGATGGGCAATGAAGGATGGAGTTATTCAGAAATTCTTCCCTATTTTAAAAAGTCTGAAAATATACAAATTAATGAATTGAAAAATTCTTCATATCATGGAAAAGGTGGTTATTTAGATATTGATTACGCTAGTTTTTCATCTCCATTACAAACCGCTTTTAAACACGCCGGCGAAGAACTCGGCTTCGAATGGAATGATCCTAATGGAGAGAATGTCATAGGATTTTCCAAGCCTCAAGCGACCATAAGAAAAGGAAGACGATGTAGCACTTCAAAGGCATTTTTGGAACCAGTTCGGTTTAGACAAAATTTAAAAGTATCCAAGTATTCCACGGTTATGAAAATATTGATTGACCCCTATACCAAGAAAGCATATGGCGTTGACTTTGTCAAAGGTAACAAAAGGTAAATGAAATATTCTGTAAAAAATAAACATATATAAATCTATAAATAAGTAGAAAGAATTTGTAAATTTAATCCCTTTTTAATATACCGAGAAAAGCTACATTCTTTCGTAGACCGTAAGCAAAAGCGTATTAAAAAGGTACATACCTGTCTGATGAATGTTATCCAAACTTGTCCTCGTAGCAACAAACGATGTTAAAAATGTCCAATAATTTTTTTCGCAATGTACTTGTAAAATTTCTAAGTATCACAAAAAATAACATTTACTGATCCCTTACTCGTAACTAAATTGTAAATTATAAAAATAAGATCGAGAAAGCTGGTTTTTATTTCAGTACTAAAGATCGCCCGCGACTCCGTCCGCGCGGAATTAAAAACAAACAAAAATAGTAGTAGCCTCTGTGTCCTTCCAGACTATGTTCTACATCTATGCCAAATTTCATCGAGATCCATACAGCCGTTCTCGAGATACCTTCAAACAAACATCCATCCATCTATCCAAACATTCTCATTTATAATATTAATAAGATTTATAATTTAAAAATATATCTCGGTGAGGGTTACTGAAATAAATATACGTACATGTAATTATACACAAACGAGTTAATATATTATATAATATATTATAATATTATTAAATCAACAGACGAAGGGTGATAGCTCGGCGCGAGGTTATCCTATCAGCTGGTACAATCGGCTCGGCACAAATACTCATGTTATCTGGAGTAGGACCGGCAGACCACCTCTCGGAAATGGGCATAAAGACATTAGCGGACCTACCAGTGGGCTACAATCTGCAAGATCATGTCACATTCTCAGGAAATGCCTTTATAGTTAATGATTCAAAGCTTTGTGTAAATGACGTAAGTAAAACATAGTTAGTTTTTAAATAAAAAAATGCTATAAAAATTGCTATAATATTTGTATTTTTCTAACAATTCCACGAGTCTTTCGGTGTATTCTACCCACTTCTAAATAACCTCCTCTTTTGTACACTGGGAAGTATCCGTGGTCAATTAATAATGTTGCGAATCTCAAGTTAATTTAAATTCTATATTCAGTTATATCGTTAAAAAATCGGTAAAAGCGACCATTAGTTGTGGCCTGATTGTAAACTATTGATTTAGTTAAGAGCCGCGTCTCCACTAGCAGCCGCTGCGTACCTAGCAGGAAAAGGACCTCTGACATTACCAGGTGGCGCCACAGGACTAGCGTTTGCTCGCACCTCATACGCCGCTGATCTGTCTGAAGGACGGCCCGATATGGAACTAGTGATGGGCGCTGGATCACTCGCTGGTGACTTCTTAGGCATTTTACGATCATTGCTAGGTAATATAATATTTTTAGATACTTGTAGATTATAGGTCACTAGCTGTCGCCCGCGAATCCATCCCCGCGGAATTTAAACAAAAAACTTAATTAGTAGCCTATGTGTTCTTCCAGACTATGTTCTACATCTATGCCAAATTTCTGCGAGATCCATGCAGCCGTTCCGGAGATAGCATGCATCCAAACATTCGGATTTATAATATAGTAAAATATGTATGTCACTGCCTCTCATCTACACTTATTGCTTTATCATAGATCTATGCGTCTGTGTCGTAAATACACAAGAAACCTAGCAAAACAAACAATGAATTATAATGCTTGCTTTACAATGTAGATCGATATTTCTTTTAAGGTATAACTGATAAGTGGTATTGGAAGATGTACGGATCCCTACCGATGGAAGTCCGACAACGTACATTTTCAATGAACCCTGTGCTGATCAGACCGCGCAGTGTGGGCCGGCTGATGCTGCGCAGTGCTAACTTCTCCGATCATCCGAGAATACATCCCAACTACTTCCACCATCCCGATGATCTGAGTGCATTGAGGGAAGGTCTACGACTAGTAAGTGAAGTACACTGTGTCTATTAAAAAGTATTATAAAATCAACAATTTTTCACTTGCGTAATAATTATATTTATTGTCGCTTATAATTTGCGCAGTTTTCTGTGGCCATTAATTTTCATAACAATTTTTTGACATTCTCTTGTATTTCGTACTATGTGATTACGAAAGACTTCGAATTTATTTTTGATATTCTTGTAGCTACTTATAACTATTTATGTAAATGCTTTTATTTCAACCAGGTGGAAAAAGTGATAAGCACCAAAGCTTTTCAACGCTTCGCAACAAGAATTCATAACGTGCCGTTTCCCGGATGCGAACATTACAAATTCGATTCAGATGATTACTGGGAATGCGCTATTATGCAAACTTCCATCACTCTTGACCATCAAGTAAGTCGCAATTCACCATTACGTTAATATTGCGTTATTCCTGCATTTTTTACATTACTATTTTCTTAAACATAAAAGAATAAGGAAAAATTCATATTACAGATATTGTACAGACGTGATTTTATCATACATAATGACATTAGTTTATCTCAGTACCTTGGCTTATGAGAAACAATAGAATTAAACACGATTCCCATTTACAAAATTAAATACAAAATCGTCATGTGAATTGTACCGCAATTACATTCATAACGAAATATTTTCCTACATTCTTGCCTAAACAAGATTAAATCTTCAACGTTTCGTTTGCGTTATTCTGCACAAGAACGAGGAAAATCTAACGTTCCTTTTTTTCATTTCACTTCCAAGTTTGTATATTTTTATAAATTCAATTCTAATTCTGTTAGAATTTTTTTTTAAATCGTTAAAAAATTTCTTGATGGAAGTCCATAGATGATTCATACAGTCAACTAGGAATGAACATACTATCACGTTTTTCTTCTTACCTTAAGACAATATCAGAAAAAAAAATTCTTTGGAGAGAGTGGATAGAGATATCTTGCTCTGTGAGAACGGCGCGCTTTAGTCCAACTGGCAGATAGATGTAGAGTAGATATAGCAGTAAGTGTTAATTTAAGTCGGGCTAGTGTTGCACCGATACACCGGCACGATGTCTGTTTTTTTTAGTTCTTAACACTTTCTAACACTGAATTTTACAGGTTGGCACATGTAAAATGGGACCATCAGGAGATCGCACTGCAGTGGTTTCGCCACGGCTATTAGTCCATGGTGTACAAGGTCTACGGATAGCTGATGCTTCTATTATACCACGAATACCAGCGTCGCATACATTAGCACCAGTTGTTATGATCGCGGAGAAAGCCGCGGACTTAATCAAAGAAGATTGGGGACGATACCCTTTTTTATAACGTCAAAGATTAGTTAATATAGAATCTATTTTAATTACAAATGTATTGCATAAAAGACGCATTGCTATGTAGTTGTAATTTTTTTGTCTTTTAATATAACCTATGTCTGTTTTTTTAACAATATGTATTAACTATTTTATGCTAGTCATTAGAGAAGTTTTAAAGTCATCTGAATAAAGTGCAACACAGAAATATGTTTCGCTTACACTTTATTATGAAATTTTCTAACACAAATCTTCCTTGTAAGATTCTACAAGAAACAAAGATCTATAAGAACTTTATTTTGAGGAAAAAGGGCTTAACATCAGACTATAGTACTTACTAAAACCTTCACCGGACAGCTGTGTACATATTTGGACCCAATGCATGGTTGCAAATACCCTACTATGGTTGAAAACAAAATAGTTATTCGATAATATTATTTATTAATTATTAATAATCTACATATTTTCTACGAGCACTTATTTCTACTTCAATTTCTAGTCTGGTGATGGACCAGTTTTTGTCTTCCTGTTCAGTTTTCTGTACAAAAAGCCCAGCCGTTTTTGTAGCTCCTTCCACTTGGTAGGTCTAACCACTGGTGAACCTGTTTTAGCAAACATTTTTTTCTTCCTTAACAGTATCTATAACAGAAAAAATTAAACAACCTTTAATAATATACAGGGGAACATATTACACTGGTAAAAGCAAACAGAGATAGTCATAGAAAGGGAACTTTTTTATAGCATAAGGTGACAAATGGACAAGTGCCCACCATTATTTGCTAAATAGCAATACTGTTCTTGTATCAAAAGGCTGGAAAGAGAAAGAGCACAAAAATTTAGACCTCCAGCATGCACACTCATAAGACAATCCACAATGTTATTGCTGGCTCTATGACTATTTTTTCATTTTTTGCTTGGGTAAAGATAAGATATACTTACATGATATTCATGTCCACTGACTCCCCTAATCCATGAAGGGACAGTGTAAAGAGTTTTGACTGGGTGAAGATTCCCAGGACCTAATATATCTATATAATCATTCTGACCATATAATGCTTTGCGTTCAGTCCACGCATTTGCAGGCCTAGAAATAATAAATAGTAAGGTAAATCCAAAATCAAAGGACTGTCTTTCACCACACTTCTCAAATTAATACACATTTTTTAATCTAACTACTAAGAATCTTATTCTTAGTTTTTCTTATCCAACCAAATGAAAGCTATAAATGTAAGGACAAACCTGTACTCTGGAATAGGTAATTGTTTTCCCGGAACCCTGGGTAATAAGCCCCCACACCAAAGTTTTTCTTCATAACCATATCTTCGTACAAGCCTAGTTTTATCAGCGTGATATCTTGTTCTAAAATATATAGCGAAGTGTAAGTAATAGGTTATGCAGAAAACAACAACACAAGTAACATATTTACAACCTTACTATATTTATACTTGGTTTCCACAGCGATTTTAAAATTGTAGTACCTAACCGCTCCATAGCAGAATTGACTTAGCCGTCTAAATCTTTAACTATTAAATTCTAATTTTTACCAAACAAACACCAAATCCTAACCTATAACTTTATTAAAAGATTGTCAAAATGTCATACAAACTGTCAAATGTCAGATCCACAAGTAATAACAAAAATCAAAGATTATAAGTACTTTATATTCTATCTAAACACAAATAAACAAATATAACATTCTTAAAACTTTTTTTTATTTATTCCAATCATTTTTGTACTTCTGATTACTCCTCCGTATTCTATCAATTTAGCAGTTGAACCAATGTTACGAGCTTGCCTGATAAGACTGAATGCGGATGCGGATGTGGATAACCACAAGCCGAACAACCAAAATTATACTTAGATATAAAGAGATTAAATAAATAGAGGCACAAACTTCCAGAACATAAAGAGGCTGTGACACCATTAGTCAATATTTATTTATAAGAGCGTCGGTGGTCCAGGCCCCCTTAGACAAAGTGCAGTTCGAACCCCACCATGTAGAAATGTGCTTTTCGATTTTCATAAAAGTAAATAAAATTTATATGTCCATAGGTAAAAGATAAAATTTGGCCAGATAAATAAAAATCGAAATTTGAAAAAGAATGTTTATTATCGACAGTCGTGTACAGATATTTTAGTTAAGGTATTTATACTTTAATTACAAAACGCTGTAACCAAATTATTTTGAAGCTGCTTTCAGTGTACAATTAAAAAAATCTTTAACAAAAAAACATCAATTTGGCTTGAATGAAAAATGCATCAATGTAATAGAAATTACGTATACGCGGAAAATATAGCTTCCGTACAATAGTGGAATTGCACTGTTATACAGTCTACTGTGCTAATATAGATATCATACTATTCTATGTAAATAACTAAATTCATATGAACACATTTTTTCTTAAAACTAGGTGCATTATAAGAATAAACACCACGCTAAATACTTATAAAATTGAAACTTTAAAAACTATTATATAATATCATATAACTTTAAAAATATAAATCAATGATTGTAAAATCAAAATTCTTAATTGCTTTTGTACTAGACGCTACATCGGCAATTTTAATAAATTATTGCATTGTGCTTATTTTACTTAGAAATAACATTTTTATCAAATGGTAATAATAAGATTACATCCCCATTTTATAATTTAGGTCGCACAAGTTCCAACTACAAATAATTCAAGCCCCAAGATACAATCATGCGACATGTTTCATACACTGTTACAATAAAAAAAATCAACTCCGACCAGAAATTCAACTCAAAATAATATCTGCACGCCAACAAAAATCATGTAAAGTGGATTTCGCTGGATTATAACTCTTAACATATAACCGTTTTAACTTGTATAAGCCATTTCAATCTTTTTGATGACTCAAGGTCACCACATACAAGATTTGTATCGATTTTTATGTCATATAAAAAAAATCTAAATCAAATTATATGAAGTGTGACCGAACACATGGTTATATCAAAAGAAGTCTTAAATACGAAACATAAGTACATATTTTATACATTTATACATTAGTAAGCAACAATTGTTGGAATAAATGTTTAACAGAATATTTGGCATTATAAAAAAAACAAATATTCTTTAATTATTCATATTCGACCGGAACCACGATTAATTAATAAAATAATAAATAGAAATTATTTTTCGCGATATTATTACATATAAATCAAAGTTTAAAACTTCGACGACTGTGAAATATTACGAATACGATATTCAATAATTATTTTCTAGTTTACAATAACAACTAGTTCTTGTAACATAAAAAATATGCAACATATAAAAATAGAAAAATAAACATGAATTTAGAAGTTGCAATTGCCCTTTAATAAGATTATTAATACTTGTATATTAAAAATTGTAGGAAATAAGATATCAATTAAAAATTAGGCGGTGTCGTATATCGTTAATAATAAATCATCAAAGATGGATGATACAAAATTATTATTACACAAAAATGTAAAAAGTATCTGAAAAACTTAAACAAAAGACATTAAAAAAGTTAAAATCTAAATGAGGCTACAACAAAATCTATCGCGTATTTAAAAAAAAGAACATTAAATCAATTTCAGTTCAGAAATTTATCATACGAGAATGTAATCTTTAAAAGTTTTCTGCTTAAATACATTTTACCTCAAGCCTGGAAAAAAAGGAAATTACATACAGGACCAAGGCCGTCTTAACCCGGTGGTGCAAGGGGTGAGGGAGCCAGGACACCAAACTGGTTTGGGCGTCCGGGCGCCCAATATGATTAAGACGGCTCCCATTACGTATGAAAACATCAAATCTTGCAGCCTCAATATTTAACATTAAAAAAATTGAACTTAATCTTAATTAAGGCTATGGTTGATAAAACATTGCCATCAGGTACAGAAAAAAAGTTTAAATCTATAAAAATGTCAGTAAGATAACTAATTTTATAAAATTAAAAAAAAAATAAGTTATTTGCTGTCACAAAAGCACATTTATATAATTTGTGTGACTTAAAAATTAAAAATAAAAAATGGTGGGAATTATATGGCCAATATCAATTCAAAATAGCAATGAAAATGTAATAACATAAAAAAAATTATGCAAATACAATTTGCTAGTCATTCGAAATAATAAGTTGTCCTATTAATTCTATTACTAGAAGTACTTAACATACAAAACAGTGTACTGTATTTTGTGTACAAAATAATTATTTATACTTAAAATTATTTGGATATTAAAGTAAAACGGAATAAAAATATTCTACACAATATTTCCTCAAAAGTTGGTACTATAAAGCTATTTTATTACGAGTTACTTTTCTAACATTCATTGACTTATTTAAGCATAATTCTAATGCAATTAAAACATAACTATGTCAATCAAAATCAAAGTTGTTGAGTTGAGTTGCCAATTATAATTTGCATCTCTAGATTAATTTCTCACCAATTTTATATGCAAATATGTGATTTGCTAAAACCATTACAGAATTTATTGTCTACATTTTAATTGACATTCTAATTTGTTGAATTAAACATTATCCATATTAGATTATAGGCCCTAACAATTGAGGGGGGTAAATTTTATCTTTTTATTAGAACCATGACTTTTGGTGAATGTAATAGTAAAAATTTAAATATAAAATATATGATACTTAAACTTAAGCAAATATAAAAACTAACCTAATTTAAAATACAAGAAACAAGTTAATAAAGTGGAAAAAACAATTGTAAATAGCAACAACATATAACCAATCTACAGCCTCCATAAAAATAACAAATAAAATAAGTCAAAAGAATAAAAAATTATCCCATGTGGACCATATGAATATGATTTAAAAATTTATATAGGCTCTAAAGTCTAATATATAAATAGCCTCATGATATTAATTATAAACATGAACATACATATGATATTGTATATATCTATAAATACATTCGTAAAATATACCGAGACCCTTTTACAATAATTTTTATAAGACATCTGGGTATTTAATTAAACATAACAAACTCTGTTTGAATTTTACAGTATTAACTGAAAAGTTTCATTCATATATTGTAATAGGATCTCTAAGCAATCTCACAAATAATAACTTTAGTGTATAACACTTCATGAATAAATATTTTGTGTTTACACAACAAAAAAAAAACTTGATAACTTCAACATGGTCAGGCTTTGCCAGTGGTCATTGCACTTTACAGTTCCTTAAGATCTAATGTCACGGAACGACAAGTTCCACATATAAAGGTGTATTTAGAAATATTAAAAATTCATTCTATATGCATATGAAACTATTCTAAGTCTTTGGAGTATAGAGTACAGTAGAGCAGTGGAATATTGAACATGCTCATGTACACACAAACCTCCACAGACCGCAACTTTGTAAGACTTAAGGATCCTAAAAATATGTTCTAAAACCTATAAAAAAAATATAGCTCTTATTTTTTTCAAAAATAGAAAATTAAAATAGGGTCTGATGTAATACTGCACACTAAACATTACTCTAAATCAGTCAAGATATTGTAGTTATCATGAAATTAAGAGTAATTTATACTGTATTTGTATGAAGAAATGTACAAAATTATTTTTCAGATTGTATATAGTAAAGCTATTTTTTGTAGAAAACTTAGAAAATTAAGTATAAAAGTAAAAGGTGGATAATTTTGAACATATTTATACATTTCATTGATAAATAGGTGACCTCTCACCATTAATGTCTTTTCAAAAAATTAAGACAGTAGAAGACTTCTCTCTTCATACTGTGAAACATAATGCAAATCAATAGATTGTAAAAAAACATTATTAGATTTTGAGAGGGCACTGTTTATTTCAATGTATAAAAATGTCCATCATCTACAAAGTTATCCTAATTGTATTTACCTTACTTTCTACACCTTAATTTAAATGGTAATAATAAAGCAAGTTGTGAGGCGGGATATTTGCATCAGTCTTGTGAAATTCTCAATTGTGAAAATTATTACGGTCATTAATTTAACTATTTGGTAATCTGTAAAAAAACTTGAAAAGTCAAACCTGTATTAAATTTAAAAAACTGGTGCACCAAACTACATCAGTTCATATCATTTTTTAAAGATGATAGTGTTGCATCAAGTATTCTGCCTGCAGCATAGCCTGGTATGTTGAGGTATGCGGGTTTATCATGTTCGCATAATCCGGGTTGTGTGCAACAACGATTCATAGGTGTAACATCAGTGCTAGATGTTCCACTAACACCAGGTAATTCAGATGTCCCTTGGCAAATCATTTTGTGATTCGTAAATTGTTCTAATGAACGAAGCTGTTCACCACAGTTTTCACACTTCAATTCTCTTGCATGAACCTTTTTATGGCTGTTCAATGATCTTGAATTATCAAATACTTTGGTACACATGTCACAATATTTTAGAACTTTCTCTCCAGTGCACACCACTTTATGATTATTAAGTCTATCCAGAGACATGTAACGTTTGTTGTTACATAGATCACATTTAAATTGTTTTTGTGGCACCCGTCCTGTATGTACTTGCATATGTTTACGTAAGTTGCTTTTGTCTTTTATATATTTTGAACAAACTGAACACTTATTAACATCTTTCCGGGTGTGGTTAGCATCTAAATGTCTTCTTAAATAAGATTTCTTATGAAAAGGTTCCAAGCAAATTTGACATCTAAAAGGTTTTTGAGCTGGGTGAACTCCAGTCAAATGGGTGTTGAATTCGAGAATAGTTGGGTAGCTTTTTCGACAATGCGGGCAGTGAAATAATCTACGGCATATTGCTGCACTGGAGTCACAAAATGGATCTGAACAATCATCACAAAACGAATCTAATCCTGCTGGTGGAGTTGCAGTTTGATAAGGTTCTACTTCACTTTGTAGAGGATCATGGTCTGGATCAGGAGTACCAGCTCCGCTAGGTTCTTGTTTAATTTTAGCTTGCTCACTTGTCTCTGAAAAATCATCTTGTGAAGAAACTCCTCGAGACGTACCTGCTAACATCCACCATGGGTTGTAATGCCACGCTCCTAGACCAGACTGCACCGATTGTGCCTTTAAATCGCTTGACTTTGTCTGTGTTCCCGCGTTTGAAAATCCAGGGAAACTAGGCAATTCTTGATGTTTAGTCCTTGTCGATTCGAAAATACTATGTTGAGATATTAAATTTTCGTAATCGCTCGGATCCAATTTTTTTTCATTTCGATCGTTTCCCTCTCTTTTAGACATATTTTAATCAAAGCCTGAAAATTAATTAATTTCGTAGTTATTCATTTTTTTCTTATATTTTCTGAAAATGGAACTATTAAAACATTTAATTTATTTATCTTTTAAATTATCTAAAATACTAGAAGTCATTGTTATTATGAACTTTGAGAAATTACAAGAAAATTAGGCCAAGCTTGGTAAAGAAGTAAACAAACAATACAAACTCAATTATTATTGACTCAAAAATTTGCTGACTAATATATGCATAAAAAATTATGTATATGTTATGTTTGCTTATTTCATTCTAATTAAAGTAATATGTACATACATGAATAATGGACTTCCCATAAAAGATACCAAACAAATATCAAAAGGGCTCGGCCATTTTGTTTGGTTTGGGCACAGAACACAGATTATATCGAACTTTCATTACATCAATTAACAGAATTGACAGATAAAAATATTTTGCGTGTATATTTCCCATTTTGTGTAGAAAAAATATTCTAGCCAAAAAAGCGCAGTTCCGCTTAGTCCCCTTATGATCCATAATACCCCTGACATATTGCCCTGGGCGGAATACATATCCAAGTTTTACATTATCAAAAATTAATATCGCAAGTAATTCAGATATTCGGACACTATAAAACCTTCAGGGCAAAGCTTTTGGCTAGGATACATTATTGTGAACTACATGCCCTGAACAACTGCAAATGTTATTTTATCATCAGTTTATTATAATTTTTCTATTTCACCTATAGATATTAGGTTCATTGTGTTAGTTTAACTAACATATGATATTTGTGTATTAAAAATTCACACCCACAGTGAAAATATTTATTTCATGAATCATATTTCAGAAAATTACAAGTTAAATTATTTACAATACAACCCTTCCCCTTTTGACAGCAGCTTTTACAATTTTTGTTTTCTTTTCTTTTTTCTTTTTAGAAATATTCTCTTTTCTTTTCTTTTGTCTATCTTCTTTCTTTTGTTCAACACTCTTTATTCTATTCTCCCATTGTTTCTTGCTTGCCTTTTTCTTTTGATCCTGAAAATATACATTGGTGTGTTTTATATTGGTGTGGTCTAGTTAGTGAAGAATGGGAGATCCCAAACACAAATTAAACATGAATTCAATGGGACATATTCTCTAAAAATTTTGGTAATATAAATAAGACATTGATATAAATTAGCCTTACCATTCTCTTAATGGACTTTTTCAATAATATAGGATCATCTTTAACTTTCTGACCCTCCGCCTTTTGAAGTATATTTTTCCATGCCATCTTTTCTTTAATTTCTTTCACTTTGTCACCTTTGTCTGATTCTTGTAATTCACGGAATTTATTTTCTTGCTGTTTCATATCTTCTAAAATTTTTTTTGGGTCCTTATGGACTTTGGCATTTTTTTCTACAACAAAAATTATCAGATGATATAAAAAAAACTACAATAAAATTTACCAAAAAACCAACAAAAGACTTATTTATAATGAAAGTGTAATATAACAGATGACATGTTTCATATTACCAATAGAAGATATTAAAATCTGATAAATTATAGTAACACTTACATACCTTTTCTACCAAAATTGGCAAAGTCAAATTTAGAAAATACTAATTTTCCTTCGCTATTAAATATAGGTTTAGCAATGTTCACATTCTTTTTGTCATCAGCCTGCTGTTTCTGATTATTTTCAAAGTCTGGTGCTGAACCCTTTACATGTGTTTTATTAGTTCTTTCCCTTTTCTTGAGTTTTTTGTTCAATTTGCTATTAATGCTCTTTTTAGCTAATTTACTTTTTAAGTGAAAGTTATTTTGTGATTTGAGTTTTTGTAGTTTCTCTTCTAATTCTACAATACTAGTTGCACGCTTAGGTAGTTCTTTTTTATCTTCAGGTTGTTCACCATTGGTCATTTCGAAGTCATTGTTATCATCGTCATCTGCAAGTAAACTTGTATATAAAATTTCTATATCTTATATTATACATTCACTATGGTGTAATATCTTTAAACATTATACCATACCTTTGTGTATTGGTAATGACAAACTAGAAAATATATTTTTTATAAATTGTAGTTCTTTAGATAGCTCACTCTTTAACTGTTTGGTCTTTAAGGTTTTTTTCTGAGACGCCATGATTGAAGGCATTTGATCTTATATAATGTACGTGTTGTATAACGTAAATTAGTGTTTCATGAACTATTTTTTTTTCAAAAAATTCAAACAAAGTTAAGTTTACAACATTCACACCAAAGAGTATATAAAATATCCCACGTGCAGAAATGACAGAATGACTTGACAGGTGACAGCAACGAATTCAACAAAACGATAATTGACAATGACCAAAGAGTATATAAAATACAATGACAATGACGGTTAAGTTCTATTTCAAAGAACAGAAAATTGTAGACTAATTTATAAATTATTTCCATCCTGAAGCATAAACGAGGAATTAAATGAGCACGAACAACTTAAGATAAGTTAATAAGATAACAAGAAGAAAATTAAGACTGGCTTAACTCATATAAGTTATAAAATTTAAATCTTTTTAGCAAAAACCAAACAATTTAGTTCAAAAACTAGTATGGTTTTTTCATGCTCTTTGTTTTTGAACCAAATGTTATTTGACTATGACCTAAAGGTCTATGTTACCTAGTCATAAAACTAAAAAAAAAATGTTATTTGACTTTTGAATTGAAACACTTCAAAAATCGTTGATTGGGCTTGGAAGTTTTAAATTTTAAAACCTCAAATAATAAGAAATGTCGCAAGAAATATCTTGTGGTCTAGAATATATCACAACACCAGATTTACAAGCATGTCTTACAGAGGCGTTACATAGTAATTATTCATTCATAGTTGCTAATGTTGTTCATCCACGTTTTCGTCGATCATATATTCCTGGTGCTAGTAAAATTGGAGGATTTACGCGGTCTGACATGGTATTATCTCCACAAGATTGGACCAGTCGTATAGTTGCAAAGATATCACCTTACATTTGCGTTGACTCCGAATCTCCGGTAGTCCGTCAGCGTCATGAGGATTGCTTGAATGAAGAGCTGTCATACTGCCGGGGCTTGGGAGTACCTGCTATAATGTTATCATTACAATCAAGAAATACAAATAACTTGTCGAGAATTCTCCAAACATATTATGAAACCAGGTAAAATATGCATAATTTACATCGGACTTCTCTGTATATATATAATGCGAGTTACTTAGAATATCGTTATAAATTATTTAACTTTGCAGCCATCACCCTTCCCTTATATGGGCGTCGGTTCCAATGTATTGTACAAGAAATGCTCGACGCAATAACCAAGATGATGATGATGAATGTGAAGAAGCATGGGATGAAACCTGGCATTGGTGGTCCAAGTTCCATGAACGGTTAGACTGGGACAAACGTGTTGGAGTTGTTTTAGAACTTTCGGCCGATATACCCCCTCAGGAGATTTTAAAAAGATGGCTTGGTGAACCAGTAAAAGCTATTGTTATTCCAACATCCATTTTTCACAATAATAAGAAAGGGTGAGTAATTTTCTACAGCAAAAATCATATCCATGGTTTGTTTAAATTTTCATTGTTTTATCTTATCACATTTGAAAAAAACTTGATTTCTAGAAATAATGGCTTGAGTTGATAAAGCCAAAAATATTCGTTTAGTTACAATAAATAGGGTTTAACAAAAACAAACATCCATCCATCCATCTAAATATTCACATATATAATGTTAACATGATTAATTATTTAATAACTCACAGATACCCAGTGCTATCAAGAGCTCACCAACAACTTGTTGTCAATATGGTTGAGCATGAAGCACAAGTAATAGTCAGTGGAGCAAGGAGATCTAATATTGAATATTATCTACAATATCTTTTCCGTTTGTGGCAGAGAAGACCATACAAAGCTGATGATCCTATGCTCAGTTATGCAAGAGGGTAAGAATTATCTGTTAGAAGAAAATTGAAAGTGAATACATTCAGTACCACTGTAATTTTCACACAGATTTTAGGCCAAGTAATTGGCATGGTTTGTGTTAAATCCTTTTATGGGAGATTCATACAATTTCATTGTATGTGTGTTTTGAGTGTCACCTAATTGCCATGTTCATTATAAATGTTATCTTATATTTATTTTTACTATAACTTGTATATTTGTAAATATGTTTGAATAACCAGGTGGGAAGATTATCTTCAAACACCCTTGCAACCTCTTGCAGACAATTTGGATACTCATACGTATAATGTCTTTGAGAAGGATCCCATCAAATATGACCAGTATCAAAGAGCTATTACACAAGCTTTGATTGATATAAAACATAAGCGACTCAACAAAGATAACAAGGAAATGATGAATGAACTTTGCGTAAGTTGAAATGATTTTTGGTCAATTTTTTTTACCATACTGAACAATTAATATTTTTAGACTAGCTTAATACATTTACTTCCTCAGAGGGGCCGTGCGAGTAGCTTTACTTATTTAGTCTTAAGTCTAACTTTATTATGTAAAGGGATGTGTTAAATTTCCACTCTCCTAACGAATATGACACCTATATTTGAATATTTGTTTTAAACTATGACCTAATCACAAAATCATTAACATTTGTACGACTAATTGCAGGATGACGTCAAAGAATTCTCTGTATCCAATGAGAAAAATGAAATGGGACATGGTGATTGTTTACAAGAAACGCAATCTATAACAGTAATGGTTTTAGGAGCGGGTAGAGGTCCGTTAGTTAGAGCTACATTTAATGCTGCTGATATTACTAAGAGTAAAGTAAAGGTACTGTAATTAATCTTTTAAAACAGTAAGCATAAGGACAAAATTAACAATTTGAATAATTATTTTTCCATATATTGCACCATGTTACCGTTTAAGAGTTGTAAAATCACATTACAACTCTTAGGAGCTAAAGATAAATGGCATTGGATGAAAATAAGAAGCAGTACTAGTATTTTATATTGATCTTATTATTAGTTTATAATGTTATTTATTTTAGGAATGACCTAAGATTCTTGTTTTGAACACTAACACAGTAACACCGAATTGCCTGACAAGTGTAACTTTCATATGAAAAAAAATCTTAGAACTAGTTTAGTTTGTTCATTAATTAAAAATGTATGTTCAACGATTTTTATTTATGATACAGGTAATAGCAGTAGAAAAGAATCCCTGCGCTGTAGTAGTGCTTGCCGCACAAGTTCGTGAAGTATGGCGCGATCGGGACGTCGTTGTTATTCCTGGTGATATGAGGCATCTTAATCTCTCTCCTAAAGCAGATATTATTGTCTCTGAATTACTGGGTATGATCACTCTTATATGTTACACAAATTTATTAAAAAACAATATTATTAAAATTTTGAAATGTTTTTAACAAGTAAAATATGTTTAGTTTGAATATCTTTTCTCTCTTTATTATTTTCAAATTTCTAGTCATTAATCAACTCAACTGTTAAGTTTGGTTTAACTAGTTTTTTTATTTTTAGGCTCATGGGGTGATAATGAATTATCACCAGAATGTCTTGATGGAGCTGCAGGACTTTTAAAGCCGGATGGTATATCAATACCTAAAGAGTACAACTCCTATGTGGCTCCAATATCCTCACCTCGATTGTGGGCAGCAGCTAAAGTTGCCTCGTCAAGTACAACAAACCAAAAAGAAAAGAACCTTGAAACATTATGGGTTGTTTATATGCAAAATAAACATGATATAGCTGGAACTAAGGTGAATTCTTGCTACATAATGTTTAAAGTAATCGAAATTAAAAGTCACATATTTGTGTTTTAGAAGAATCAAGGTCTAATATTAAACTAATAAATAAAACCTTTTTTATATTCTGTTAGGTTTCTATTTGATTCTTCTGTAGATATTACTTAATTTACATATTGCATTACAAAATCAAAAACACTCTTTATTCATGAATTTGAAGCACTGTTCTAATGTGTTCGTCTTTACAGCCTGTGTTTAACTTTAAACATCCAGCAAAAGGTACAAAAGACCATGAAGGTGATGAATTAACAGACTACAGAGGTCTACCATTAACAGACAACCGAAGATCAGCAACAGTATCTTGGGTTGTAGAACAGGATAATGTGATGCATGGCTTTGGAGGGTACTTCGATTGTTCACTATATGGAGGGGAAATGATTAGTATCGTACCTTCAACTCATAGCCCAGGAATGATATCATGGTTTCCTGTTTTCATACCAATAAAGGTAATGCAGCTGTTAATGCTTATTTTAAACAATGTGACTTAAGAGATTTAATATGTCTTGCTTCCATAAACTATGGATGAGAATATTTATACATGTTTTATATATGCTTATCTTGCAAATGTCCTTCCCTAATGTCAAAATTACTAGACAGATTTGAACGAATCTTTAGTAGAAGGCATCGAGGATAATCGGAATCTGTTGATTTGCGGTGTTACTGTTTTCGTTTAGACATTTGACACTTCTATATTGAGAAAAATGGATTTTTAAAAGAATGCACAGTACTTGCATCTAGTATCATATAAATATTATATTTCAGACACCTCTAAGAGTACATAAAGGAGAAACAATAACCGCGACATTCTGGCGTTGCGTTAACTCTAGAAGGATTTGGTACGAATGGATTGTGGAGGTTGGTAATTATACAACACCCCTGCACAATGCAAACGGAAGAAGCTCAGAAATGTTATTATGATGCTGACATATTTTAAATATAAGAAATAAAACATTATTTTTAAATAACAATTTTGTATTAATTTAATCAACATCAAATAAATAACAATATTTTACGTATAAAGTTACCTAACAAACTTTAAACTTTTAAATTACGAACCATACACTATTTTTGGTACAAAAACATTTTATGTTTTTTTAAATATATCTACATTAAACTGTAAATTCTTTTCTACTTATTTATGGTTATTTTATACTCAGCCTAGATATATTCATTTCTTTATGAAAATCTTCTATATCTTGATCCCATCTCTTTTCAAAATAAATTCCTGTAGAAAAAAAAATGTTTTGAAATAAAGTTTATCATTCAACCTGTGGATAGCAAACTATAGGTTGCAATTTAATCCATACCTTGTAAAAACTTTGAGTTATTCCCAGTTGCAATTGCCCAAGGTAAATAATGTTTTAGATACAGTTGTCTATGCTTTGGTTTGAGTCTTGCTGCTCCCCAAATGCCCCCACCTACACACATTGGAAGTTTTGTTTGGATACCTTCTATCCATTTAACAGTGACCTAAAAATAAATAACTATATTTTTATAACTCTAATTATCTCAGAAAGATTTTCAGCAACAAACCATTACCTTATCTCATAATCATTATATCTAATTAATAATAAAAGACATAAACAAGGTACATGGTATATGTAGACTGGTTTACTTACTTCACCAAGCATAGTCGTTTTCATATATAAAATAGCATGTACTAAATCATGGACTTCCCTATATCTTTGCATGACATAAGCCAATTCTGGATCAGATATAAATTGTACTGGTAACCTAGAGTCCGCTGTAATATTATTGTCTATCATAAAGTCTGCATACACTCTGCCAACTGTTCTTTCTGGCATTTTTGCAAGTGTTTCAAAGCACACAGTTTGGGAGTTTATCCTTGGTTGTTCGGTTAATATATTAGCACCTTCCGTAGTTTCTAACATTTTTTCTCGCATAAATTTCAAAGAGCTTTCTCCTGTAACTTCTCCCAGACATGCTATCATATCTCCCCTGTAAGGATTCAAAAGTGCAACAGCGGCTGATCCTACTGACAATATAGCTCTTTGAAAATTATTTGTTGGTATAAAATTCTTCTGCATTTCTTCCACAAATGATAAAACCTTAGGTTGAGTATGGCAAAATTTCCTTATCATTTTTAGTGCTTTATAAATGACTACTTTTAAATTGTTTGGTATTTACTTCAAACATAAAATACTTTCATTTATAATTTATGTTGCATTTATCTTTTGTCATGTCAATGTCAAAGTGAAATTGTCACAACATTAAAAGAGCAAGAATAAAAATTTCGTTTCTGCATGTCAAGTAAGTTTTTGAAGTTGCACTACACAAGTTTTTAATAATCCTTGAATTATAATTAACAAGTTATAAAAAATAATCATATGGTAAAAATTACAAAATTGAGACGCTACACTGGCGAGGGTTTTTAAAATTGCTTGGACAGAGCATAACTCTCAAGTCACTCTGCTTCTTGTACTCGCCAATCAAAGAGGACATAATGTTAAAAACGATATCTGTGAAGTCAAAATGTTTTGTATACAAATTTCGTATTAAAAATTATGACTCGTGACTCACTGTAGTTGAATAATATTTTGCTTACATTGAGAACAACAAATTGAGAATGTTCAACATGTTTTATTTAGTTGTTTTTTAGCTATATGGACCAGTAATTTAAGGACAATGGAAGATTCTGTAAAACACTGTACTGAACCTACAATTTGTTCAAATAATACAGGAAAACTTCAAAATAAAAGAGGACGGCCAGTTAAATCAAAAAATATTCAATTTGGTCCACAACCGACATCGATTATTTCTCAGTTACTTCGAAAAAATGTAAAAAAATTGGTTAAGCATAATAATATTACTAATGAGCAAGTACCAACCATCGTTGAGGGTGATAAAAAAGATGAAGACACCAATTTTTTATGTGTAGTTTGTTCGTTAAGGTAAGTTTTTATTTGAAATTACAATTTATTTTTACTTTTATAGTTATCCAAAGGCCTTCATAACTGAAAACTAATATTGCAGGATGAGTAATAAGAAAGAATATAAAAAGCATTTAAAAATACACAAAAATTATTCCTGCAAATTTCCTGAATGTAACTATACTACAAAGTTATCATCAAATTTAATAAAACATAAAAGAAAGCATACTTCAGAAAAGCCCTACTTATGTGACCAGTGTACATTTAGGACCAATTTTATTAACTCTTTGAAAGTTCATAAAAGGATTCACACAGAAGAAAGACCCTATGCTTGTAAACATTGCAGTTACAAATGTAACAGTAGTTCTAACTTGAAGAAACACTGTCAATATCGTCATCTAAAAAACATTCCATAATTTTTTATTGTTAATGTAAAGTTGTTTTATGTAAATATAATATTTAATATAAGTGTTTTTGGGATGACCACTTGCTTATTAATCATATTAAAAAATATAGTATAAGTAATAATATAAGAATATGCTTTAATTTTATTAATAAGATTAATTAAAGGTATAAGAAAAAGAAATCATATTTGAATGCGTTTAATATTCATCAAGTTATAACCTAAAATATATATAACTGGTATAAATGTAACTATATCACCCAAAAAGGCTGTCTTACTACATGATAATAACACCACAATATAAAACATTTTATATTTTAAAAGCGAGGATACATAACCAACAATAATACTAGAGTGGCATATTGGTCTTAATGGTCAATGACAGTGTTCAGTAAAGTCCACCACAACAGATTCACGCCAACCAAAAAGGAAGTAACCGGTAGCAGATCCAAGCACCACTGCAGCACACAGCCATACATTGTACGTCATGAACACCAACATCAACATATAACTCACAAAGACCTGTATACCATGCAACACCGTCTGCCATGCATGAGCTGAACTCATCATTGTGGGGCTGAAAGAAATTGTAACAAGTTAATATTGTTATAACTTTCGTGTATCATGACTGTTAAAGTAGTGGTGCCTGCACTAGACTTTCCCACATTTAAGTGAATTTTTATGAATTACACAATAGATTAAACTTAAGTGTTTTGTTAGCCAGTGACATTCAAGACAATGGAGGTTGTATTAATAACAAAGAATGGTAATTTATAGAGTATAATAAAAATATTATCTTATAATTTACTTACATGTTCCTTTCCAATACATGGGGCATGGACCTTGAAACAATAAAAAAAACATATTACCAAGTCATTTACACCATAAATGTTATTTTGTATCTGTATTATGTTTACTCAACTGTATAACTTGAGGTTCATCTGCAGTGCAAATATTTGATACACCCTTATCAGGGGGTGCTACAGCACAGTACTGTAATCCAGTGTAAGTTTTCCATAATAAATGTTTCCTGTAATACTTAAGCCTGCAACAAACATGTTATATGGTCTTAAAATATAGTAATTTGAAGCTTTAATTGCCTAAAGGTTAAGTGTACAGTCATCTGAATGTGGTTGAGGGTTCAAATCCTCCATTATAGAGTCAACTGTTCTAAAGGAGACCTTCGACCTAGACCTATATTTAAAATTTTAGTACATTATATTTTGTTAACAATTTTCTGAATTTGGAGAACCGTTTCATGTTAGAATGTCTAAATCTTGAAGCATGTTTGATGGAATTTAGTAACATCATAAAGCAATTGTTTCTCAACATCATGTCTTTTGAGCATTTTTATAAATCTTTTTGAAATTAGGTCAGTTCAAAGCTATTGTTAATAGCAAGTTGAACAAAAATATCTTCATGGGAGTTATGTTTGAAAAAAATTCACATATTATAATATCAATATTTATATCACCCACAAAGACACAGCAAATGAAATGTTTAAAAATATGACTCTTTGTTTACTGTAAACCTACCTTTGTTGTGAAAATTCGTGGCCGAAAGGAATAAGGTGTCTTATTGTTTTGTTTAATGGCTGCAGTCAGAATATTATAATATATTGGCCAGTAAAATGAGGTTTTGCTTTTTTATTTAAGTAAAGAGGTATAAAAATATAATATATTTAGAATAGAATATATATAATATATTTGATAAATCTCATATTTGTAAATATTCTTATTTTAACTAAGTTTATTTGGTAACTGACATAATCTACAACTGAAATACATGTATGAATTTGTCTCTGGGTTCAAATTTAGGTACCTTAGGATGTATCTCTGGTTATTTTGATCATTACATACAAAAATAATAGGTCATGTATTTGCATATTAATAAACTACAATGCATATGAACCTAAATGGCATATGAGACTACATGTGATTGCTTCTAATTCAATAACTGACCAAATTTTGGATGTAATAATTAATACTTTATTAGACATGAAATTTTTTATAAATTGAAGGTACTTTTAAGATATTTAATTGATATACTAGACAAATGGTACTCAAATTTCTTACCCTTCATACAGCAAAGCCATAATAAATATTGCTAAAAATGATCCAATAAATTCACCAATGTCTGCCACACTCCACCAAGAAAAGAGAATCGTCTCTGTGTAGCCTCCATGGAACTATGGAATAGTTAAAAACAAAATTTATTACTAACTAACGAAAAGTGGTACTATTGTTGGGCTCACAAAATTTTCAACCTTATAATAGATGGCAAATATAATTGAAAATATATTGATTTCAGAGAACTAGCTTCTGTCCACACAATTAAAAATACTTATTAGTAGCCTATGTGTCCTTCCATGCTATGTTCCACATCTATATCAGCATGATCTATGGAGCCATTCTGAAGATACTTTCTAACAAACATCTATTCATCCATACATCCAAACATTCACATTTATAATATGAGTAAGATTGATTTGGCTCTTTAGTGGAAAATGTAGCAGTTACTTTCTTTAGTTAGTTAGTTTCTTTGAATTAATTTAAAAACTCATATGCCAATTAGACTTTGCTTAGTACTTACTGTCATAGAATCCATTGCATGTAATTCATGGCCTAAACTATGATCCTCATGTTCACGAAACGCTTCTGGTGTATTATTTAAAATTAAATCCTGAAAAATTATTAGTATTTCAAGAAAGAAGAAATTGTACGTAAATTTCTATTCTATACAATATAAGATTAAATTATCATCCATATATTACTTCAATATGGATCTTATTACAAAATTATTAGATTAATAAACTGAAATTAAATGAGAATTGAATTTTAAAAACATAGTTACAAAATCTTACAGTCAGGTCTTGTGTTGTATTCATTTGATGATGTTGGTGATCAGGAGCTTCATTATGAGCCATGTGGTGTCCGTGGTGGCCTGAATGGTCCATGTGCATATGGTCACCCATATTAACTTCTGAAAACCATGTTATATTGAAAATTAAGTACTGAGTTTTGAAGTGACTCTTTAGTGGCTCATTAGAAATTTATGCAAGTTTCTAATAAAATTAATTAAAACTAATGGATGAACTATGTTTTTATCTAAAAAGTAATTCTTTTTCTCAATAATACATTATTTCATGTATACTTTTATGACAGCAATAATATTGCGAGATATTCAAGAAATGTTTTGTAATTACTGTTACAAATAATTATTTGGAAAGTACAAATTTTAAATGAAAGTCATATTCTAAAAACTTTAATATTTTAGATGACTTAATTAATAAGGAACTACGTTTCATACCGTTAAGTTATGAAGTCCACAAAAATATTTTTTTCGTTAATATAACGCGTATGCACTTTCACTTTCGCGACAAACCTTGTAGATAGGCAAGACTGCTACACTTCACGAACTTGTTGAAAGTGCAGCATACTTCGCTCTAATATAGGTTCAAGCTGTATCATTTATGTAATTGTCGTAACAAACGCTTACTTGTAAATTTAAGTACGTATGTGGCACTCAGCGATATACAGCTTGTAAATTCATCACTTCACACATATACTTGTTGCGGCAAAGCAATTATTGTGTTACGAAAAAAAACATTAGTAAATTAAATCAACTTCAACATAACATTTCCCATGATTTCGTTACCTACCAAAGAGTAAATAACGTAACCATTTTACTTTTTTCAAATTCAAAGTTATCAAAAGAAACAGATTATAGTCAAATTGTCAAACTCAACGAGTTCAACTCAAACGAGTACAGAGCTTACTTACATTTTTAGTCAAACAAGGATATCTAATAATAATAATAATATTAAAAAATATTTAATTCAGACTCATGGTCCATACAAAACAAATCTAAACAGGTGAGAGAGGCGCTGCTATCGCAGTTGGTTTTGTCAGAATATACATATTTAAATCTACTAACCGTGAGCTGCTGGGACTAAAATCCCCGTGTAAATATATTGTTATCTCTATTTTGTCAAAGTTAATGTCAGGGACGACGACATGTTTTATACAGATATTTTGGTCTTGGAAACCAACGGTAAAACATGAAAATTACATAAAAGAAAAACAAATTACGTAAAGGCAAACAGCGATATATGATACTTAGCCATAGAAAATGATATGAAGCTAAAGTTCAAACAGGATCTTATGACATTTTTAACGTTGACATGGCGGTAGTGATACAATTTGATTATAACGCGTAGTTCTTGTACACAAAGTACCTGCACACCTGTACAATTGTTGGGATGGTCGTGTTCATTCTCCAATGCACTTGGAATTAACAGTGGTAGAGCCCGCTTTAACATCTCACGAATCGGCCCGGCTCGCCCGGTGAAATACCACGACCACACTGAAGACAGGCGTGAAGTGGAAGCTATTCCGCGTTTCGTCTGATGAGGGTGCGTCCCGGAGGCCTAATTTAGTCCACTTTCCCTTCGCACCCTTTTTCTTATAAGTTAAGGATGGGAAGTGGAAATGGACTTTCCGGATGAGAGGATGCATGGAAAGGGAAGATATTTTCTTTCTATGCATCCTCTCCTCCGTCGATTTAAGGTAGGCAACGCATATGCAAATGCGTAAGTCTATGGGCAACGGTCACTTCGCTATTTCAACGATTTCAGGTGACCGCTCGCATGATTGCCACCTTTTGATATAAAAAAATATATATATCATAGCTGAACTGAAATAAGTTTAACCGGACATAGTTTGACTACAAAGAAATGTACTCGGTATTCAGCTATACCATAAATTCTACCACTTTTCGCAGGGGTAAGATAAAGATGATAATCTCAATATGAGTAAAAATTTACACATTTATGTAAATGATCTCTTGTCTCGGAGGGCAAGACCCACTTTAGGTCACTGCGCCAACGGAGTGAGTGAGTGTTTATATAAATGCATACTGAATCAGAAATTTATACTTGATCAAAAAACGAGCACACAAGAATGTTAAGAACGTATTGCTAAGGGGAACATCTAAAATGTTTATTCAATCACCACTAAGTTCCTGTTTCCACTGCAGCTAGCCACGCGACTGCTATTTTGCATATAGGACTAGTCGTGGCGTACCAGTGGAAATAGGATAAGCGACTCTGTGTAACGTCACGAGTGTGTTATAAAAGATTTATTCTAAAAAGTACAAAAATACCTATTTTCTCCTTATATTTGTTACTTTGTTTTGTCGTTTATTGTGTTTTGTACAAATAAATAAATTCACATCCGTGGCCTAGAAAGGCAGGCAAAGTTTATAAATCGGACTTATGGACTTACTTGGTCATTTTATATATACTTATTTACCTTTATCATTAAATACTAAAATTAAACATTTTTATTTAAATTCATTGTGTACATCTATGTAAAAAATCCACATGATTTTATTTAAAACAATTAAAATAGTAGCTGTGACCAGCTGTGACTACAAAAATTGGGTAGGTTTCTATTTTTCTTTTGTAAAACATGTAGTGGTAGTGCGAAATCAATTTTCAATATAGGTTTTAGTAAAAATGTATTCATTAATTATTTACTGTACAAAATATTTACAACTAATACAAAGATTAAGCACTAGCAATACGTAAATGCCCAAACCATAAATAATAAATCATTTTTATGATGTGAAGGTTGGCTGGAGGGCGCCACTTGAACGGATTTCGAACAACTTCGTGAGCTAGATTTACTATGGAAGCTGAAAACCTAATCTTCCAAGACTGAATCCTATGATTGCTATGAAACCTTATATCATCGCTTTACCAAAATTAAAATATCTTGGTTTTACACGTTTTTCGATGCTGTTATTTCAATATTTCTTTTCCAGAAAGTGATAAATGAATTTTAGGTATGACTAGAGACGCTCGTCACTCGCTTCATGTTTGGCCGCCATGTCTGAAGCTCGGCTGTAACCTTAGAGTTCGGGTTGTGCTTTTCTTTGTTGTATAAAAAAGACAGTGGTTTTTGTTAGTTATAGACAATGAATTACTAAATTTAGTTAATTAATATGAACTTTGATATATGTGGAGTGTTTGATGAATTCAAGCAATTCGATAGAGTTAACTTTTGCAGAAGTTACTCCAACATCGTATTTTTAGTTCATCCGCCATATTGGCGTTAATATCCTTCGTAAGTCTTTTTTCATAATTATTTGGCTTTACCACAAATTTATTGTTGTATTTTATGCTATTTTGTTGCCCTATTGATAGGACTATCGTATGTGTAAAAGTAGAGCGTGCATGTTGCGAATAATAAGTAATATTTGGACTTTTCGTTTTGGCCTCTGTACCAGTAATTTTCACCAAATCTCCACTAGCTTATTTGTTCCAAAATAAGTTAATACTTTGAAATTTTACTTTATATTTTGTTTTCGCATAAAATACACTTTGAAATATTTGTTACATATGTTTTGCAAATAGGATTTTATTACTTTTGAGTGCGTGCATTCTCTTACTGGAATCTGGAATTAAATACATAATTACTATGTAAAATATGCTTATAAAGTTCTAAATATATACGTTTTATAATCACAACAACTTTTTATTCTACTGTTTACCCTTTGAAGCCCTTACACCATAATTTGTAATTCTGTTGAAAATCAGTTGAGAGAATATTCTAGACTGACGCCAGTGTCCATAATAGCCTAAGCAATTTTGATTTTTTATTAAATTCAATCATATTGTGTTTAGGTTATCACTCTAAACAAAACATTGCGTATTAGTACCATGTATTAAAATTTTCAAATCAAAGTTGCATGAAGTGCATTTATCCATGCATGACTTGGGTAATTTTAACGAATTTATGGTGCAACTACTGTGATGGATTATTTATAAAAGAAAACAAAAATCCAAACATCAACAATGATACAATTCAATATATGCATAACCTAAACTTATTAATTTTAAACATTTAATACCAAAATGAGTTTATTTAGTAAGGTTTACTGCCTAAAATATAACATTAGAAATTCAATGATTTACTATTTTAGATTTTTGAATGAATCTTTTACACCTATTATAGTTTTGCTTCTTATCTAGAGGGTATTGCTGTGTATTAGAACTATGAATAAACAAGGCTACATATATATTTTTGGTGATGGTAATTAATATGTTTTCTCAATCAATATATGAAATTTATTACATCTATAAAATATAATTTATTGCCGTTAATGTGTCTCTGATTATTGCAATATCTCAAGTAAATAACAATTTTGTTATTGTTGTAGTGTTCTTGACTGGTAATTTACAAACATTTGTTTATTCAATGGAGATAATGTAGCTTTTAATATTTTATACTTGTAATATATTTGGGTTATTAAACTTTTTCCTTTTAACATGTTAGTAATTTGCCCTCACAATTATCAACTTTTTAATAATCATATATATTTACATTTTCATTAAATGTCTACACTCATAGTTTAAGAATGAAATGCGTTTGTAGGAATAAAGGCAAAACTGTGCCTTATTTTAAAAGTTATAGCATCAAAGTGGGTTTAGAGATATTTTTTACAGTCTAGAGTTTCTCGCGTTGTATGGAAAAATATAATTTGAATGTAAAGTAAGGCTTATGAGACTACAAGGAACATAGTAACTAAAAATTTGCATAGAGTCAAAAACTAAATAAATATAAAGAGATATTTACTATACTTGATATATACATGTAAATATGGTTTTAATTTTTATATGATCCAGACACTAGTATATAAAAAAAAATATCAAGGAAACTTTAAATGCAAACAAAATTATAATTTGGGCGTCCTCTTATTGAGATAGTTATAACCTTTTTTATTTTTAAGATTTTTGGTTACTGGTATTAATTAATAACTTATAAAAGCAATATGTACTGTTTAGTTTTTAATATATTTTATTTTTATTTCCAGATGTGGATCCCATCTTGATTTAATTATTAAATATATTTTACAATACTGACTCACATCTCCTTGGCTTGCAAACACAGCGCCCAGGTAAATAGTAAAAGTTAAATTAGTTCATATTTTATAAGTTTGTTACAATGTTAAAATTTCTTGTGTTTTTAATTTTAGGATATTTTAGATTAATATAAGTTTAATGGTTGGATTGTGGTCCGGCTACGGTGCGACCGCACCTAAGAATTTATTATGATAGAATGGTTTAATGTTATAAGAGGGTTTAGCTGATGCCTCTTAGTCAGAAACTGGATGAACCTCTTGTAACGATTGAGGTGAGCTCATACTGTTTCAATATGCTTTGTCCATACAAAATATTAGACTAAATATAATATAGGACATAAAATGTTAGATTAGCAATTGGATTATTAGTCAAATTTAAAAACAAATAATGTATTGTAAGTACTGAGATTGTTACAAGTAGAGTGGTTTTTGATGATATGTTTGTATGTAAAAGTACTATAGTGTATGGGTAACTTTGGTAGGTAGATTGCAGACTCCAGCACAATGCAGCAGGCTGTGGATCCTCTCGCAACTACAAGTACTGTAAGTATCTACTATAAATATACAAAAATATAGTGACTAAAGTATTTATGGTCTGTAATTTTTTTTAATATTCTTTTTTCTTAATATATAATTTTTATTTGATTATTATTTTGTGATTTGACATAATTTAATGGTTTTATATTTCTGTAGCCAATGGCAGAGCCTGTCAATGGAGCACCACCAGAGGATACGCCGCGACGACAGGGCCGGATAACGAATCAATTGCAGTTCCTCCAGAAAAATGTGATCAAGGCAGTTTGGAAACATAAGTTTGCATGGCCATTTCATCAGCCCGTAGATGCAAAGAAGCTAAACCTCCCAGTATGTACATTTTACATATATAAAAAAGAGTTGAAAATATGATTTTGATTATTCTTTAAATAATTTGTATGTAACAATAATTAACTGTAGCTTAAATTATTTTCTTCCAGGATTACCATAAAATTATAAAAAAGCCTATGGATTTGGGTACAATTAAAAAGCGTTTAGAGTCCAACTACTACTACTCGGCGCAAGAATGTATCCAAGACTTCAACACTATGTTCACCAACTGCTATGTTTACAACAAGCCTGGAGAGGATGTGGTTGTTATGGCACAAACATTAGAAAAATTGTTTTTGAACCGGGTAATTATTTATTTTCTGATACATGGAAATATTAATTATGCACAATTTGTAAAAAAGTAAACAAATTGTTTGATATTTTTAACTTATGCTTTATACCCATAAGGCATGGTGAAGTCTTCTGATATGCTCATAGATGATCCATGTAGTGCACAATTTTGTTAACAGTGAAATAATTTTGTTTTATACAGATAGCGCAAATGGACAAAGAGGAAAAGGAAATTGAGGTACCATCGAATAGTGCGAAGGCGGCCGTGAAGAAGCGTACGAGTGGGTCCGTGGGGTCGGTCGGCAGCGTGGGAGGCGTGGGCGGTGTAGGTGGCGCGGGCGGCGTGTCGGCGGGAGGCGCGGTGCCACGCGCGGTCAAGGCGGTGCCCAGCACGCCGCTGCCCGCCTTCGTGGGCTCCACCAACACCACCACCACACCCGCGCTCACTGCCGCCACACCCACACCTCCCGCCACGCACACCGGACTTCCGCAGCAGGTCTGTTGCCTTATCAAAAACGCAATTTTTTTCTACATCTTAGGCTTACCCTTTTCTAGTAATGTTACCCTATTTTTAGATCTAGTAATTAGTATTAAGAAAATTTATAATAATATTAGTAAAATCAACAAGGTAGTTCATATATGTCACAGAATGTCTAGTGATTTAAGTCTAACAGAGAATTTTCCTTCAGGTGGCGACGCAACCATCAAGTTTTCATGTTACGCAAACTCCGACCACACCTGTCTCAACTATGCCGGCGGTTACTTTGTCCCAGACGCAACCTGCTAAGGTATTGTTACACTAAATAAATGAATCTCTATTTTAAAATGTTAATTTTTGTGCTATTATAGATAGATTTTTTTTAAATACCATTTAAATTTGAACTTTATTTATAAGGTAAAGAAAGGTGTGAAAAGAAAAGCTGATACAACAACACCTATGGGTAGTTCGTTTGAAGGAGGTTACACTACCCCAACCATTGATCAACAAGTTGGACCTAAACCGGCGAAAATTTCTACGAGAAGAGAAAGTGGACGCCAGAAAAAGGTTTCTACTTAACAATTTGCATGGTGTTTCTTTCAATCTTCAGGTTTCTCATAGTTTTTATTCACTTAATAGGCTGGAAGAGTGGGAGAGGATAATTTCAAAATGGGTGGATTATCACCAGGCATGGGTTCAGCGGGGGCATCCCACCATTCTAGTATGACCCCACAGATGGTAAAGGGTAAAGAGAAACTCTCCGATGCCCTCAAGAGTTGTAATGAAATATTAAAGGAATTGTTTTCTAAGAAACATTCAGTAAGTATAGGTTTTGTTTGTCATATACTTGCTGTAATACATTGCATTTAGTTATGTTTTTATATTTAAGGCATACTCTCATTGATATTGCTTTTTGTTTGATATTAATTAATTTCTAAGCATACATTAAGTGTACAGTAAAGCAACAACGTATTCGACAGGGATATGCGTGGCCATTTTACAAACCTGTAGATGCGGAATTGCTCGGTCTTCATGATTATTTTGATATTATTAAGAAACCAATGGATCTTGGAACTGTCAAGCAAAAGATGGATAACCGAGCATATAAAACGGCCGCCGAATTCGCCGCCGACGTTCGCTTAGTGTTTACGAATTGCTACAAATACAATCCGCCGGACCACGATGTCGTTGCTATGGCGAGGAAACTGCAAGATGTGTTTGAGATGAGGTAAATTACATTTCATCCTCTTATAACTAATTCATTATCCAATAGTTTGTTTACTGTATGAAAATATGAGAAAAATTGTAACATTAATTTATTAGCTTTGACATAATCCTGAGCAACATTATGATAGCGAAATTTAAATATTTTTTGATATTATCAACAGATACTACTATTTTATTAATTGTGTAGATTTAAATTTTATCTAATTTTGATTTATATATCTCCATCTGTATTGACTTAGGTATGCTAAGATTCCTGATGAACCAATCCATGTTGGAGTTACTCACACAACGGAGAAAGGCAGTTCCGCCTCCAGTTCCGAGTCTGGGTCAGAATCTGACTCCGAGTCTGACGATTCGGAGGAAGAAAGAAATAATAAAGTTAAGATACTTGAGAAAGAATTACTTGTCCTTCAAGAGAAGATGAGGAAACTTGTTGAAGAATCCAATAATAAGAAGAAGGCAAAGAAGAAAGTTAAAGACAAACAAAAGAAACAGACGACGAGCACTACAAGTAGTAGTACTATACCCAAAGCGAATACGGTCACGGCGTACGGAACAAAAACGAATAATATTAGTGAAAGTCTGGGTATGTACGACAGTACGTTTTTCTTATTTTTGTTTGCATGTGTAATCTTTTAAGTAGCAAACATTTGATACTTTGTTCAAATTATTAGTTTGATTAAAATTAGTGTCTAATAGATTATTCTGCGACTTCGTTTGCGCGGAATAAAAAACACCATGTATAAAAGTGCTATGTGTTTTTGGTGATTATCTTATGCCAAGTTTCAATAACATAGGTCACACCGTTGCATAGTTATCGAGTAAATATGTAAATCAAACATATTCCACAAACGGTATTCAGTTACGGGATCATAGGTAGCCTATGTGTTCCTCTAGACTGTTTTTTACTCTAATACCAAATTCAATCGAGATCCGTTTCGTCGCTTTGTTTATGCCTAGTAACAAACAGCTTATGATCCAAACGTCTTTGTAATATTAGTAAGATATAATAGTGATTAAGTCGTACATTTTGTTAGAACTATAGTAACAGATGTGTGTCCGTTAGCGACGAGCGCGGTGCGCGGCAAGCCGGGCAGCAAGCGCGGCGCGGGCGGGGTGGGCGGTGCGGGGGCAGGTGGCGCGGCCGCTGCGGGCAAGACGGGCTCGCGGGGCGCCGCGCCCGCAAAGAAGAAGAGCTCCACGCCCACAGCCGCGCCCGCACCGCACCCGCCGCCCCACCCCGACACTGACGACGAGGATGTCGCCAAGCCCATGTCTTATGACGAGAAGCGCCAGCTCTCGCTAGACATCAACAAGCTGCCAGGTGATATAACAACCATACTAAATTATTCTCTACAACAAGATTAATATATACTTAATGCTTTGCCGCCGGGAGGCATGTGTGTTTAGATGAAAGTCAAATTGAGGGGGATAAAGTGAAATACGTTACTGTGTTTTCTGTTTGAAAAGCCTGAGACAACAATGTGTCAATACTAGTTTCATGGCAGTCGGAATCCACTGTTAATACATTGTACTAGTCTAATATACTGTGATTAATTATATATTAAAGTTTTAAATATTATATTTGACTAAGTGAATAATATTTATGCAGGCGACAAGCTCGGTAAAGTGGTGCATATCATTCAAAGTCGAGAACCTTCTCTGCGAGATTCAAATCCCGATGAGATTGAGATTGACTTTGAAACTCTGAAGCCATCGACTCTAAGGGAGCTCGAGAGTTACGTCGCGTCGTGTCTTCGCAAAAAGACTCGTAAGTATTATCTTTTATATTACTCGATTTACTATTTTTAATGTACGTATTGTTACATAGGAGTTAAAAACTAAAATTTAATTTCCATTTTTGTGATTAATTATAAAATTTGTCTTATTTTCCTCTGTAACATGTATGTTTTTTTTAGATCGGAAAGTTTCGGGTAAATCAAAGGACGAACAAATGGCGGAGAAAAAGCAGGAATTAGAAAAGCGATTGCAAGATGTGTCAGGCCAGCTAGGATCGAATAAGAAGCAGCAACCGAAAAAGGGTATGTATAAAAATATAATTCTTTATAAAATTTACTTATTTTTGTTCTACTAATCACTGCTCAGCCCCTTTTGTGTGATTAACATAACTTAATTTGTATGTTTTGTTATCAGATGGCTGCAAGGAGGGTCTGGGCGGCGGCATGTCGTCATCATCCAGCTCCTCGGACTCGTCGAACTCGTCCTCGAGCACGGACACCAGCTCCTCCGACAGCAGTGACAGTGAAGCAGGTTAGATATCCTTGCGGCATACCTTGTCACACTTGGCATACCTTGGCATACCCTTACCACAGGGTGACTTACATCAACTACATAGACTTACATCAAGCACTGATTGGTACTAACTTGTACCATTAATTGTATATTACAATTTAGTATTAGTTTTTAATATTATCTGCATTTAATTAAAACGTAAACATCACTGCATACCTTTACATCAGAATATAACAATATAGAGGAGTACGGTTGGGATGTACATTTTACAATGTTAATATAATAGATAATTTATTAGTGTGCAATTGAATATATTTTATGAGTATGAAATTATATTAGAAACAATTGATTTGTATATAGTTGTGTATATTTGTACATACACATTAAATATGTGTGTATGAAGTCAAGGGTACAAATCAGTATATGAAATTAAAAACATGGATTAAATATAATACTACAATTTTACTACTAGACTTACTCAGTTTTAAAAAGTTTTTAAATTCCATTTCATCTTTACTCTGTTTTACTGAATTTATAAAAGACAATTTATAATAATATTTTAGTATGTTTTGTTTCATTTCGTCATTAGTAATGAGATTATAAATTACAATGTTTTTAACTGAATTTTCTTCTTTAAAAAAATCTACGCCATTACTTTTAGCTATGACTTTCTTTTTTACAAATATATTATTTATTTTGAAATTTTTAAAGTTGTGAAATATTCAAAAGTCGACGGAATACAATTTATATGTGGTTTTATCCTAGGCTAGGAAACAGTTTGAATGCTTTTGTGCCAAGTATCTGGGGAATTTTTTTTTAATTTTTATTCTTCTATATTTGTTATATTTTGGTGTAAATTTGGTATATTTGAAATGCTTAATATCTATAAATATATTTAGATTATTTTTTTTTCGTAAATATAGGTAATGAAAAACACAAGTTTTTTTTTACCTTAGCCAGTATTTATATGGTATGACTGATTGTGGTTCTTTTTTTATGTTTCATATAAAATGTGGAATGCGATTTACAATTTTAAAACCTTGAATAATGTTATTCTAGTCTGAAAAGTGTCAATGACAGAATGAATGACATGTCTAATTACTATAACCATAGACATAGAGTCTGATGAACAGTACCTAGAGAGGGATAGAGAGAGAGATAGAGAAAGAAAGAGAGAGAGAAATAGTGGCAGTAGTCAGTGAATAGATATGGATTCGATTGTTAGAAATATTGTCCTTATGTGGATAATTTTTTATTTTTTGTATTTTTTATTTATTGAAGACCTCAAGTTATAATTACCTATTATTTATAAAAACAGTATATTTTTATTTATTTTGGCGATTGTTATTTTAGAGCTCAACAACAGTAAGCTACTTTGTTTAAATATTGTGTTTGATCAGAGTGTTTGGCAACAGTGTGAATGTAATTTTATATTTCCGAAGATTGCAATGTGAGAATGTCGTCAATCGGCTCCATTGACTGGAATCAGCGTCGCGGTGATGTGAATGGGTTTGAATGTGTTCAGATAGAGTGGAGCTATGATTTGTCATTACTGTGATATTGAGTAAGTGGGTTATACATTTTAGCTCGGGATAATGTTTAGTTGGAAGTCCGCTGTTTGAGCGTAGAGCGATGCTTGTTATGATAACGCGGTAAAGGCACAAACACTCGATAGTCGGTAAGGAGGTGAAGCCAGCTTTGGTGTACGCCGATACAGTGTAACTGGTGCCGGTAACATGTACCGTTTGGTTTGCTTTCATAAACCAATAGGAAATACCTTTTCACATTAATATTTTTAACTATATCATGTCCTCAAATGCGGTGTTGTTTCATTTGCATCCTTTAAATTTTCGATCTCTTTACGAATACCTATCGGAACTTCAGATCTCACGGCACTAATTGCTTTTGCGTGTGAAATTGACGGGAGAGGAAGTGAGCGCGCGCAGCAGGCGTGTTGCCGGAGTGTTGCCGGAGAGTTGTCGGGAGTGTTGTTGGGTGTGGCGGCACACACGAACACACACACGTAATGCAAACAATTGTGTAAGGACGGAAACCACTTGGCATTGGCAAGGTGTCAGGCGACGCACGGCCTCTCTGCGACCACTGTGTATCTTGTACTGTGTGACATGTTGTAGTTAAAAATTTTATCTTGTTTTGAAAAGGTATGGTTTTATTGGTTTAATGCTTGACACTCTTGGATGCTTGCTCCCAAAAAAATAATCATGTTACGTGTGATCAAAATTTGTTTACGATGACCGAATACCTAAGCTGGCCTCCTTCCTTCACAAATTGTTTGCAAAACCTCTCTCATTGACTATCGTTATCATTATGTTATAAATTATATTACAAATTTTATGTGGCCCTTTTGATCGAGTGTAATTTTTTCTAGCTTAGTACAAGTAATACTCTGTAATGTTTACTGTTTGGCAGCTGGATATCTGTACTAAATGAATTCTGTACGAAACATTTTGTAGTTTGTCCACAAGAAGGAGGGAGGAGAATGGTGCAATAAGTCGCGTAAACTTTCAACGGTGCTTTATCACCTTGATAAAAACAATCTCGAAAGTCACCGCATTGTGTCTCAAAATAAATGTTTAGTTTAGAATTATTTCGCTAATATTATTCTGATTTCTAGTCGCTTATTCAAGATATTTTAAAAAGATTGAAGAATATTTATTGATAGATTAACTTACACATTCATTTTTTTTGTTTTAGTATTCCGAATTTTTTTTCATAAAAGCGATATTCAGCGGAATTATAGAAATTTATATTTTTTTAACATAAAAATTGTGACTTTTTCAAAATTCTCTTCCATCCATCTTTAGGGTTACCTATATACTTGATACATTGTAAATATAGGACCTCTGCTAAAAGATGTTCTTCATATTTTTACATTCAGTTTGAACATACAATGTATACTACAGTTGTTGATATGCAGCTAAAAGTAAAATAATTCGTGTATTATTTATTAGAGAGATATTGATGCTCTATGTATGTACACTTGTATTTTTAATTTTTTTTTTGTCGTGCGGCATGTGAAATATTTTAACGATCATGCATATCTTCCAATTGTGGTAGAATTCTGTTTTTACATCTTTTTGTAATTAAAATCAACTTGATAACTCTGTCGAATATTATAAATTAAGGAACAAATAAATTATTTTTAACTTGTGTTAACGAAATGATTGTGAAACATTTGTGACTGTCAAGAGTAAAGATCTAGTTGTTTAGTTTGAGTCGGTCGATGTCACTTTTATATCTAATACATATATTGATGTAATGTTAATCTTCCTATTAAGATGAAGTTACGGCACGAATTATTATTTGATACGTAATATGCGTTTTAAGGATTTATCAGAGTTGGATGAATCAGTATTTATAATAAGTAATTTGGTCCATTGAAATAATTCAAATGAAAATTTTACATTCCTCAAATCAGAGTAGAATTTATGCAGTAATTCGACAAGCACTAATAATATTTTTTTTCCTAAAGTACAATTCGATAATTCTAAAAGTCTTATTGTAAGTTAGATGTATAGTCCCACATAATTAAAGTGGGCAAAACCGATTGACACTCTAAAAATAAGAGACCAGTAAAATATTGTTATTCGTACATATGTAGATATAGTACAGTCAGCGTCATAAAAGCTTCCAAAGTGGTCAACTTCGGTCACAATATAAATAAATAAAAAATCGAATTCTCTAAATTGATTATTAAGGCCTAGTTAAATAGGCTAATAAAATATAGAATTTTAATAATATATTTTGGTTTTAAATGTACTTATACTTTGTACTAACAACTTTGAATTTAGCATGCATGTGGCGCGTACGTTGGCCGCTGTTGGGAGACTTTCTGTCATAGTGGCTATCAAATGTTTGTATATATAAAAGCAAATGATCGGTATTTGCCTATTTATATAGCAAATGTTATCTAATACGTACATAATATATATTAGTATAAGGTTTTATCTGTTAAAGAAAGCAGTAATTTTAAAATTCATGACCACTTAAATGTTGAGAAGGATGCGTTAGGTTTTAAGTTTCGGTCGGTTGTGTCCCACTGCCGAGGTTGAGATGTCCCCGATGCGTTGGGTGTTAGACGACAGAACAAATGAATGCCGTTGTATACTCTAGTAGAAATTTGCAAATAATAAAATAAAAGGAGATTATATTTGTCACTCGAGATGTGAACTTATGTTATTTTGCTAATAAAGTAACACATGTACAGAATATATGTTCTATTGTGTCGGTTGTTTGTTAAGAAAGTAATAGTTGGTGCAATGATTACTTTCGCGCAACATTTGTTATATTTATGTATTGAAAGTGTGAACAGAAACATCACGTGAGAAATTTTATGTAAGATTTATTTAATCGACACTCATGACTTAAAATTATTAGTCGATAAGGTTGAGTGGGAATAAATAAGTGTATATACTTAAATATATAACAGAAATTAAGTAAAACTTTTAAGTAATATATATTGAATTTTATTTACACCGCCCTGAGATCTGAAGTTTATGGTATTGACATTGTGTTGACAGTCTCCACCAGTTGCATTGATTCATTTCCTTTACCGATTACTCTGTGTTTATGAAAGATCTATTGAAGTCACTTTTTTGTTTTTTCCACTATTTTGTAGAACGACGACTGTTTTAGGTTTACATGTTTAATACAACACAAATATATCCATTCTAGGTCAAGTATTTGAAAGTAATGCTTGTTATAATAAAGAAAAAAAGTCTCTCCAAAGAGACCAAGAACGTATTTTACAGCTTAGAAGCGATATCGGTATGTATGATGTTTGATTTGTACGTTTTGTGTTTATGTTGTTGGCAAAGTGCTTCATTTGCTGCTAACTTTTGCAGGACCGAGCTCAGGAAAGCCCTCCAAAAAAAAGATGAAGAAGCAGGTCCAGCAACTGCCATCGCAAACGGTAAATATATAGTTCAAAATACATTGTGCTATTTAGAATTTGTTGATCATTATTTAACAAAATGTTTTCGAGCTTAGATATATGAATATGTGTGAAGTATTGTGGCCATGCAAGTAAAAATGTATATTTCAGAAGTCCGCTCCTCCGGTGGTCGTTCCCGTGACGGTGGCACCAGTCGTGGTCGAGGAGCCTCAGCAACCGCCGCCCGCTGAAGACAAGAGCGAGGCGCCTCAACCCGCACCCTCGCCCTCGCCCTCGCCGCCGCGGGCCCATGCCGCGCAGCCCTCGCCCGCCGCGCCCATTCAGCCCGCTCAGCCTGCGCCCGCACCCGCTCCCGCACGATTGCCCACCCCGCCGGACTCCTCCGACCCGCTCCTGCCGCCCGCACCCGTGCTCGACCCGCACGAACACAAACAGATTATAAAAACGGAACCCCGTAACGGCCTCGATAAAATTGATACCTCGCACTACATCGACCCCATCGAGAGGTCGCTCGCGAGCCTCGAGCGCAGCCTGAAGGCGGAGGTGCCCATGGACGTGACCGCGAGCGTAGCCGAGCCCGCGATGCGCATGGACGATTTCTCCATGCCGAAGGCGCCGCTGCTGCCCGACGCCGCGCACCACAGCCTGATGGCGCAGCTCGGCGGCCTGGCCGACATCACGCACGTCGACCACATCAAGACGGAGATGTACTCGCAACCGCACAACGGCTACGTCGACAAGAACCCGCAGCTCGAGCGCGAGATGCTGCGCCCCGACGTCGTCGCCAACATGGGGGGTGCGCAGGGCATGGCCGCCGTCACCAGCATGGCCAACATGGCGAACATGTCCATCGCGCCGCCTGTATCCTCAATATTCGACCCAGCGTTCGCCGCCGCGCATGCGGCCCACGCCCCGCACGCGCCCCCAGCGCAGCCCCACCCCGCCGTTACTGCCGCGCCCGCCCTTATCGCTCCCAATGTAAAGAAGGAGGAACCCAAGCCGCTACTCACGCCCAAACCTATAGAGGACCTAATGGGGGTACCCAATATGGGGACGAATAACGTTTCCGAGAGAACGAAATATGAAATGGAGAAAAAGATGGAGGAGTCGAAAAATTTTGCTCAACCTTTCAAAATAAAACAGGAGCAGAATTTAAAAAATGCGAGTTCATGGTCGTCCCTAGCGCAGGCCGGTAGTCCGCAGAACATCCCCAACATAGGAACGAATAATCAAATAAAACAAAAACCAGTTATGGATAGTTGTTTCCAAGTAAGTGCTTTATATTCGGCAAATTCAATATTTTTTCATGTTACATAAACGTCCTAACTTTTCCGTAACGTTGCAGGCGTTCAAGAAACAAGCTCGAGAAAAAATTGATCGACAAAGAGCGCTTTTAGAACAGCAAGAATTAAGGAAAAAGGAGCAGGCGGAGAGAGAGAGACAGCGGCAAGAGACGGAGAGGCGACATCCCGAAGAGGAAAAGTTAAGGTGAAGTCTTTTTAAATATGACAAAAGCAAACAACTTAAAATTTGACCAAGTTGTATATTGATAGAATTGTTGATTTCGTTTGTATTCCTTACTACCATAAAATTTTTCTAAAATATGTTATTCCGTATGTAGAGTGGTACAGAACGTGCGTAAGACAGAAAGCGCGGAGGTGTCTTCGCCGAGCGTGTCGCCAGTTGCGCGCGCATCCCCGCCCGCAGCAGCGGCCGCGGCGGCTGCGGCGGCGGCAGCGGCGCAAGTCGCGCCTGACAAGCCTGCCAGTGAGCGCGAGCGGCTGCGCCAGCGCGAGCAGGAGCGGCGCCGGCGTGAGGCGGTCAGTACACACAAACCACACACACATGCATTTCCTTTGATACTTGTCTTGTCTAAACAAAAATAAAGAATTTGATTCTGGCATTCCGAGGACAACAGTTTTACAATGTATTTGTATATTTTTCCAGATGGCGGGCCAGATAGACATGAACATGCAGAGTGACCTGATGGCTGCGTTTGAAGAGTCATTGTAAAGTGTTTCGCGAGAGTTTAATGAAATTGTAAATATGATATAAAAATAAATGTCAATGCAATCTACCGTTCGTGTTGGTGTGGACTAGTGACTGCAGCTAGTAGTACTGACCGTGACCGTGACCGCTGACCGCTGACTAGTGACGGCCGAGTGTTTGTGATTGTCCTGTGAGTGAAGTTATCGACTTATTATATGTGGTTAAGTGCTGTGAATAGATATACTTATATTTTAAATAAAACTGTTGTAACATCCGACCGGAGATGGCGCGGACCTCCGCAGAGGGTTGCATTTTAAATAATGTGTAATATATAAGTTTGTATGCAAGTTCTTAATGTAAACTCTCTTTACATTCGTAAGCCTATATTTATATTTTATTCTAGAAGTGTCTTCTACCTTCCATATTTGTTTTATAGTATGTATTGAACATAGAATTGTAGAATTTTAAATTGATAAATCAAAAATGTTTTATTTTTAATGTACTGATAGATAATCAATTGAAGCAATCAAATGTGTTATATGTAGCCAGCTCGCATTGCAGTCGGCAAGGCAAGGCAAAGCAAGGCACGGCAAGGCGACGCGGCGGGAGGCGGTTCGCTTTGCACGATGAGATTTTATGTAACAAATGTCTCTGTCGACGCGACATCTCCCTACTACCTGCGTTGCATCGCATCTTTAATTTTAATATTATTTTCAAATTTTATACAAATGACTAATGTATTTTAAAATAAAATTAAGCGATGTATGTCTCTTAGTAAAAGATACTAATGTTTTAGTATTGTAACTATTAATTTTGTAACTAATAAAAGAGAAATGAACTATATAGTGTCGATTTAAATTCTCTACTTTTACTTATTGACTGTGTATGTAATTGTTACATATTCGAATGTTGTTAGAGTAAATAAATGATGAGTTTGTTGTTCCTGTCCATCAATATTTTATTGACTGTCGCAAGGCGTCTATTTTACATTGTGTTTACATAAAATCTCATGGGGCGTCGTAGTTTGCGTGGCCGCGTGGCATAGGGTGCAGCGGGCGCGACGTGTGCAGTGTAGGTGGCAAGTTGTCTGACGCCACAATGCAGAGCCCTGGGGCGAGGCGTGCGTTATGTATTTAATAGTAAAATAAATTTCTGTTACGTGTTCGATTTTCGATAAATATTGCTTAATGTTAGTAGATTTTTTATCAGTCTGTCATCGTAAAGCAGATCAAATGTCATACATTTGATTTGGAAATATATTTATTTTACATTGGAATATGTCTTTTTTATGTTTGTAGATAGTTAACTCCAGTGGAAATCTTGTAAAGTATTAAAAGTCGAGGTGGTCAATGGGCGCCGTACTTCCGCGGTACGGCAAACATACCGACGTCATCCACAAGCGAGCATTGTATATTGTTAAGAAAATTTTAATTGCAGTCATTTACTCAATCTTTAAATCAAATGTAGATATTGAAGTAAAATATATTGACATTCCATATAGTAAACTGTTGTTTAAATTCATGTACATGTAAATACAGCGACCGGCCGCACTGGGCTGCTTATGTTTACGAAACTCCGTCGAAATAACACACTTGAATCATTTTTTAAGTTATTTTATTAGTTATACCAAAAATCATGTTATTTTTTGTGGGTATTAGATAAAAAGCAATAAATCAGTGTCTTCGCAATAAAATTTCATTAAAATTATTGATGCTGAAACTCATGCAAGTTAAATCATTTAAATATATACTTCGTGTACATATGACAAACATTTTTATTTAATTTCACAAACCTGAGATATCGTTGTAATGTTACTTGGCATATCGACACCTAGTTGTTTTTGTTTAGGTATTATATGAAACAATTGTCCATGAAAAAGTTAAAAATGACATGTTCCACGTACATGTAATATATTTAGAACTATTGGGATAAATTAAACAAATTTATATTTGCGTCGGTAAGACGGGATACATTACGATCGTACATATATAAATTGCTACGAAAACATAGCGGTTAACAAAACAATTATTACATTAGTACATAGATACTTATACTATTGCAGGTAGGCATTTACTGTCTATATGTACACTGTGAAATAGTATGTACATGTATATAATGTGTTCCACCGTATTGTACGACATGTACTTATCTTACAAATAAAAACAAGAAAAATTAACAATTCATTTTTATAAATAAACATTTATTTGGCTGAGTATTTTTCTTTTCGTTAAAATTTCCACGATCTAGCTCAGTTACCCCTAGATAAAGTTCTCACAACCGTACTAACCTAGCTATAGTCCAGTCTGAGGTAGTAACAACTACACCAGTCTATACCCACTGTCTCCCAGAACAAGTTCCTAGCAAGATGGATGTCACAAACTAAACCTGCATGAAGTTAGATTTGAGAATGTAGAGTAGATAAGAAAATAGTTATAAAAATAAAATTATCAAACATTCAAAGAAACTAAATTCACCCAGTTGACTATTATTTCAGGTTTCCACTGTCATATAGTAATAATTTCAAATAAACAAAGTGATATTTTTATAATTTATTTTTAATAATAAGTAGCAGCTTAAAATCCTAGTTATTAGAAGATACATACTATATGAGAATAAAATACATTCTTAGTGAACTGGGTGAAATTAGCTTCTCTAAAGGTTTCTGCACATAAATATTACAAAAATATAAACCTAGCAAATATGCCAGAAAACAATTATCCTGTTGCTAAGACGGTTAGTATAAGAAATAGTTATCACAAAAATATTTTTATATCTACAGTAGATGCGCGGATATTTGGTGGAATTTCCTCATTTATACTGGGAAAAAGAATTATTTATCTAATAAAATATTTATACAAAGATGTCGCTGTCTGTTCTGCCTTAAATAACAAACTGCAAACAAATTGCTGCAAAGACACTTAATAGATAAAGGTGGGCACAGCCGAGAGACATTTAAAAAGGGTTCTTTTATTGAATTAATGGAACTAAATGTTTATGACCTCCACAACTATCATACAAAATAACAAACGATACTTAAGAACTAACATTTACTATTTCATAACGATTTTTACACAAGGAATAATACACTAAAGCAATTTTAAATACGACCTAAATGCATGCGTCTATAGCCACATACTTGGTCTTAGGTGGATATTGATTTTTCTATCTACATGACTTGGATAAACATAATTTATTTTTTTCAATTACTTTAAAGTCATTTGAAATAATAAAAACGACCACCTTTTTCTACCGAGAGTAAACAGAAAAAATTATATACAACACGAACGAACGAACGAAAATACCGATTTCGCTTAAGAACATTGCGTATAATTAAAACGTTCAATGATTATTTAGTTTGATCTCTAATACATACGAAGCGAGGATCATAGTATGGTTTTGCCTGTTTACAGAAAACTATGGACGCGCGAAAGCCGCATTCACTAGTAACAAACAATTTTACCCAATAAACAGGTTTATATTGTACTAAAATAAAACGAATCAGTCTGGAATAATAATATATCACATTCCTTGAACTTACTGTACAACTAAAAGTAGACTACAGACAAGCACTTAAATACATCATACATACATCGATATGTCACCTACCGATTGTGAACTTTGTCGCTTTATAATCAGACTAAATTGTTTACTAAAATTGGCAGTTTTAAAACTTAAATTCTAATCCAATTAAAAACTGACGCAATTTCCAATCGGTCGATGTCAGATTACATTTAAATAAATTCATTATGGCCGTAGGTAGGCCGTTAGGAAGCGTTGGAGTCCCACTCGATGAGGTACGCCGGGGGAGAGTCGGGTGCGAGGCGACGCGCCAAGATATGAAAGGTCTGTCCTGCACGGAAGTACGATTGAACAGTCGACTTGAGCGCGGAAAGCTGACGAGCGTCCACATCGCCGGCGCTCGCCTTGTGCGGGCTCAGTTGTAAACTGCGCACACTACTGCCGGCAGTATTATTACTGCGCCTCGCATTCTCGTAGTAGTTCTTCTCCTGCCGCTGGCGCAGTCTCCTGCCGTGGAACTTGGCGTTGTTTATGTGACTCACTGCTGCCATTTCGCCGTTCTCGTTTTGCGTCGGCGCTGCTTTTGTCGAATCTTCAGGTAGAGGACACGATTTGTTCAACTGAAATTTTTTTATTTGGATTAACAATGCGAATTACGAAGATTTTTTTAATTTTGTAAACGAAAATAAAGCTGTTAAAACCATTGTTGGAGCATAAAATATTTAGAACATGGGTTTTGTTTTTTTAGTGGTAAATTAAAATCGAGTGATGAACATACCTGCATCTGCATATACTTTCTAGGCCGCCTGTATTTTCTTCTTTTAACTTCCCCATTTGGCCCAATAACAATATCCTTTTCACTAAGTTTCCGTTTCATTGGTCTGATCATGGGGCCCATCAGGGGGTTGAGTTGTCCTGGTAACGAGAACCTCGAATGGAAGTGATGTTGCTTCCCATTGTGCTTGTTCCATAAATTCATAGCCGATGAAAAGGGGATTTTTGACGTGTACTTGTTCTGCATTAGGAACGGATTGTTTTTGCCTTGAAAGTCTTTGAGCGGTGGTATTATAACATCCAAAGTGCCTCGACTCGAGGTCTCGTCGCCTGAGGACTCCACTTCGTGAATAAAGGTACTGCTGTAAGTTGGTACACTGTCCATGTGCTGGAGGGACAATATCTTGGAATGTTCGATGATATTCTTAGTGGACAACTTGGATACTTCTAGATTCATGGTGGCTATTCTAGTTGTATGGGTGTTGATGTTGACTGTGCTTGTGGTCGGTTTACTAAAGCTGACATCTTCAATGTTCTCTTTGGGTATTTTATCTAACTGAACAGTACAGGGCAGGAGGGAGACGCTGCTGGATGGGGCAGGCGGTGACTCGCTGGGCCTGGCCTCGTTGGAATCTGTGTCGTTGGGTTGCGGCATATCATCTAACGTATCTTTGGCATCATGTTTCCTAGCAGTAGAGGTGCAGACGGGTGGCGTGGGCGAGGGTCGTTCGTCGCGCTCGCTCGTCTTCACTGACTCGTACGAACTCGTAGAGTCGTTCTCCGAGTTGGAGTTTGAGTTGAGGTTTTCGTGGAAGCGTTTGCCCATCATCAAGTTCAGCCAGTGGCCATCGACGGGTACAATCATGTGCTGACTGTGATTCATATAGGAACTTTTTTCATTGTTACTGCTAGAAGGTTGGGAACTGTGAAACAATAATATGAAATTTAAGAAATGAAGTATTGGTTCTCATTTAATACCACTGAATTGAGAGCGTGAAGCAATTTTAGCCAACTTACCTATCATCGACGGTTTGCGGCGAGGGCGCTCGCGACAGAAACCGTAACCGGGGCGCGTACTCTCTCACCAACTCATCCGTCAGCGGCTCCCCTTTTTTAATCTGCATTCCAGTATTACACATAAATAATAATCGGAAACGTGGTTTATGAAGGCTTAGTTGCACCTAATTAGGATAGGTTCGTTTTAAAAAAATCTGACAATCCTAAGAAAATATTATATTAAGACGCAAATTTCCAGTTAGCGGGTAGTCTATCAATTCTTTCTCGTATGTATTTACCTGGTCGAGCGCAGCAAGCTGGTGCGGCGGCGGCGGTGGACGGCGCAGGCGCAGACCCCAGATGGTGGCGCGTTTCTTCATCTCACGCCCGCACTTGAAGCGCTTGCGCGATGACGTTAGCGCCGTCAGGATCTTTTCGCGCCGCTCATTCACCGGCGTCAGCCACATCTACACATCATAATATATTTTTATTGCATACCCTAATAATAGACAAAATGGGATTGAAGTGAAGACTATTAGGCTGTAAATAGCACGTGTCTTTTACATGTGTAAAAGGATTTTTAGATCTTGACTAATTTAAGTAAGCTAAGTAATATTGTGACATTACAGACTAAGGCCATTTTGGCCGGCCTGAAAGTATATATATAGTATAAATAAGCTATAACACAACCTAATTCTGTGGCAGGTCTTAAAAGATTGAGGAACGTTTTAGTTAAGATGAGCGCCCGCGACTCTGCGGACAGACAGACAAACCTTTTCAGGTAATTGTAGCGCGTGCCAGTTGTCCATGATATAGGGCATGATGACGGTGTCAAGGTCAAAGTAGTTTGGTGCATTGTAAGCGGTGAGATTGTAGAGCGCCAGATGCGCCAGATCCAGCCAGCAGAGCTCCAGTCGACGCAGATATTCATCGCCGCCATTGCAGCCGCCGCAAGCGAATATGTACAACCTGATAAATACAATATGCATTAACTTTACATGAGAAAACACTATGAATATTAGCCTTACAACAGTTCGTAAGGATATGAATCAATTAACTACAAGTTAACGTACTTATCTCCAGCGTAGAGTGGGTATTGTAAACTTGAAACACATCTTTGGTGAAACCATCTGGAACATCTACAGCATAGTAACATCTGGAAAAATGTGCATAATATTAGTGCTTAAAAATCTCATTTCAATTTAATCTTACTAATATTATAGATGTGAATGTTTGCTTAAAGATATCTCCAGAACGGCTGAACGGATTTGGGTGAAATTTGGTTAACATATACAACATAGTCTGGAAGAACATGTAGGCAATGATGTAATTTTTTTTTAAACCCGCGCGGGCGGATTCGCGGGCTTTTACAAAATACTTACAATGATAAACATGTAGTGATATGTGAAAAATATAACTTTAACATTTTTTTTAAACACAATTAATTCATACCTGTGCAAGCCAATCACTTTTCTCTCCGCAATAGCAATGCGTTTCGTTTTGATCTTTGCCTCCATCAGAAGCAGTTGATGAGGACGTCGTCGAAGCAGTCTAGAATGTCAAACAATATTACTTAATAGATATTGACGGACACTCCTGCAGGATGAGTTGTACAGATGCAGGGCGGATTTAGATCGAGATTCTACTATAGAAATCCTTGAATAAAAACGTATTGTCAGAAGGATACAAGGTTCTCGATGGAATTTCAGTTTACTTTTTAGCTGACTTTGGCGGGTAAAATGAGGATAGTTAGCTGTAGGAGCCCGTTTTCCGGAACTCCACGACTAGCGTTGCGACTATTTTGCGAGGTAAATAGAGAATATGTATGTTAAATCAATCCTTGTGTAGCCTAAACAACAAAACCACCTACACAAGTGAGGTTTTTTTTAAATTAATAGTGTTACATCGCATGGCGGGGTGAGTTCCTGATGCTGCCGCCGCTGCTGGCCACCCTTGTACCGGAACAGGTCAGACCTCTTCAGCGCGCGGTTCTCCGCCGCAGCCACTCGGTACCGCTGGTCCACACATCTCTTGCAATGCCATGATGCACCTATCACACAAATTTCGCTAATATTTAATTTTTTTACTTTAAATCTTACCTCTTTCTGAAAGATGTATGGAATGAATAATTTTAATATTGTCACAGCAACCGTTATGATACGGTATAGTTGAAGACTAATCGAAAGACGACAGGGACAATAAAGCCTGATAATCTTGTTATGAATGGATGCATACCATGTATCCAAGCTTCAACAGGTGGCGTATGACATTTAGCGTGGTATCCTCGGCCGCACATGTCGCAGGCAACCACCGCGTTAGTAGCGCAGTCCTCGCGACGCTTGCATACGACGCACATGATCCGGCCGTCATCCGCCGGCGGTGCTGACAAAAGCTTGAGCGAAGTGACCGGCGCCCACGCGTGCGTGCCATCGCCGAATTTGACAAGGCAACGCGCCACGCCAGTGCCCACCTCACACGAGTCGTTGTCATTGCTCGTGCTCAGCTCTATTATTGTACCTGGTATACAGTTACCACTTTTATTTCCTACCTATCTTAACTTCTGTCCATAACGCATAGTTGTAGGCAGATAGAGACTTTTTTGCGCCCTTTTTCTCTCATAAACCCACAATCGAGTTTTTATACATTTCTATATCTGACTGGTAAATAATAAAAGTGGAAAATATCACAAATGATTAAAAATTTTACAGAATGAAATGTTTGATTGTGTGGTTATTTTCATATAAACTTATAAACATTCATTCTTCGAACAAGCATTATGTTCATGAGTGTAGTAGACAGGAAATTGATAAAGAACAGTCAATTTATCAACAAGCTATTTCTCATTTAATACCTACTTTTATGATCATATGGAATTATTTTACATACCTTATATAAAAGAGATGTATAAGACACTCAAAGAAACTTACCTAAGTAATACCGGTCATCTTTATTTAGCACAAGCACATCATCTCCACAATGGAATGGGTTGCCGTTGTTTTTTTCCGTGTTGGTTGTAGAGTCTGGCATTGCATCCTGTGTTTCTTCTTCTTTTTTGTCATTCTTTATATTGGCACATGGCGTAATGGTTTTGTCAAGGTTGCTCAGAAGAACATCGATCAGGGACAACTGTCTTGAAACCTCTTAAAACAAACATTCTATATTAATTCATTTAATTTTATAATATTTTTTATAACTAGATATTATATATTAGTTATTTATTATTGATAAATATAAATTGATACAAGTTGGGGCAAAAACATTATGCCTATAAGTTGATCTTTCATAGATATTTAAGTGTTGATATCAATGGCTATCAAATTATTTTTGTTGACTAGTTGGAATTATTTTAGTTCATTACTCTTAGTATATCAGATACAATAGATACAGTCTATGGTCAGTCTCTCCCAGGCATAGATTTAGTTTATTACTCATAATATAGAAAGTGTGTTGTTTTACTTCTACTTGGGATATGGTATAATATTTTAATCAAATTCCAACTCAGAGCGTTGACTATTTCTAAGTGATTATATTTTTACCTTCTGTAACATTACTTAATATTGGCACTAGTGGTTTTTAAGTGGGCACTTGTAGTAACTTATGGATTCCAAAACAACAAAATTACATTTATTTTCCCTTTGAAGTAACATGTTCTTGACTATGATTATTATTTGTCTATAAATTTTCTAAGCAATTTTCTGTTATGTTTATACTTACATGTGTGAAATCCAGTGGTCAGCACAATAAAATAAAATAAATATTTATTGTCTCATGTAACTTAAAAACTATCATTAAATTTAAAGAATTCTTAAGTATTTCTCTTGATCACAATGTTAGCAAATATATATTCATCAGGCAAGATAAAATATTAAAAATTTGAATTTGAATAAAATCATATCTCATCTAATAATTAGTAAAATTATAAGTTTTAACATGTAATAGTTTTTTCAGTATCATGGTCTTATGATTGAAAATTAAAAAATAAACAAATAAATGAATTGTGAAAGATTAACATTTTAAGTAGTTGTCTAAACATGTTATCAGTAACTTATAAAGGTTGGTTAATTTGAAAATATGTAAGTACTTAACATTAATTATATTTAGCCTTATAGTATAAAATTTTAGGGATATTCAATTGATAGGGCCATTGGCAATTTTATACATTTACAATGCGCAAGAAGTAGCCCGAGTATGAAGCGAGATGAAAACATTGTGTTGGTTATTTTTTATCATAAACATTTTTTAGTTGTTACAATAAATATATGATAGGGCTACGCCAAAAAGTATGTCTACAAACGCCCGAGTAAAGAAATTTTTACGGTCATACATTTCACAGTAGAAATCTATTATTCAGTTAATTAAATAAAAACTTACCAGCGTCCATTTCAAATAAGTTTCTTTCTAATATATACAACATACAGAAACCTTATTCCATTCTAAAATTTTATTAGGAAAGAACAAACACTAAAAGCATTGGCGCTATTGCGGCCATTATAGTAGTCAAACGTTTCACAGTTTTCCCGCGGTAACAAATAATGAATAATAAAATGTTCAATGAACATTAGGATTATTTTGTTACATCAACGTCTTTAAATCCATTTTGCATAATTTCAAAAATACATAATATTATTAATACATAAAATTTTATATAAAATTACAAAATCTACTTCAAAGATATGCACAGCACAGATAGAAAAAAACGTTATGAATGCTTCTAACTAGGTTATAGGTTATCACAAACTTTAATATTTGCAGAGGGCGCTACAAAATTAATCGATTCAGATTAAAAATTTGAATAAATATAAATCATGTATACTGCTTCATTTATAAAATAGTTTTTCCTAATTAGAATCATCGTATTGTTTTCTGAATAAATAGAAACTTTAGATTTTGTAGAATATCTATCAAGCTACCAACGATACCAATCTGCATTAACACTAAGTAATTGAGCAACACGATACAAACACTATATTTTCTCCCATACACTCAGAGCCGAAACATGTTCAAACTTTCTAATTATATGTAGATGATGAATTATTAACGATAATGTTTTATACAATTAAGAATTTGTCTATTTTATGTAAAAAAAACTGTCATCTGGCATATGACTCAAAGGTCCAGTAACCAGACCATAAAATCATAAAACAAAGTTTCACGTGAAGTGTTAACTGTCAACTCGGCTGTCAGCTGTCAATCAATGTTATCATTTAAATGTCTAATTGTTGTGATTTGGTAATTCCAAGTAGAATAAAATATATTTTTGGTTTCATATTTACGGTAATTGCGAAGAGGTGTGAAAAAAGTAGTAATAAGCATATGTATCAGTGATGGGCAATTCAGGCCTGAAACAACATTATGAGACGGCGTCGAAGACGGGAGTTTTACAATTATCTGAACGAAAGTTAAAGGAAGTCCCTTTGGAAGTGCTTAATTTATCAGACAATTTAAGAAACTTAGATTTATCGAAGAATAAAATTCGTTGTATCCCGGATGAAATTAATCGCCTAAAACATCTTAAACAACTGAATTTCAGTGCAAACTGTATCTCAAATTTACCAGATTCATTGTTTAGTGTAAAGAAACTTGAAATGCTAAATATTTCCAGCAATGCTATAACGTCGTTACCACAGAATATTGCAAACTTGAGTAACTTAAAACAAATTTATTTGAACAACAATAAATTTAAAGAGTTTCCAGCCCAATTGCTGGGCTTAAACAATTTGGAAGTGGTTGATCTGTCCAACAATAAAATAACTAGGATTCCTGAGGGGATGACAAATTTCTATGCTTCAGAATTAAATTTAAGTCAAAATGAGATTTCAAGTCTAAGCGAGGATTTGCACTTGGCTCCGAAGCTTAAAATATTGAGATTAGAAGAAAATTGTTTAAGTCTAGATGCTATAAGACCTAGTTTGTTGAGAGATTCCAAAATTCATACAGTCAATTTGGATGGTAATCTATTTGAAACGAAACAACTTGCATTACTTGAAGGATATAATGAATATATAGAAAGATATACAGCAATGAAAAAGAAAATGTTTTGATTAATATTACACTGCACAATATTTCAATTTATGTAAATTGCATAACATTTGAATACAAGAACACAATTATTTATCACAACACAAGCTTTATGTCTAATTTAATTATAAAATTATTTATTTTTTTAACTTTTACTAAAATTATACACTATTAAGCAATATACTTGTTTTTCATTATCCCCATGGTTCAATAAAACTTGATTGTATAATGTGTATATCCTTATGTTAATTTTATTATTCTTACTACTACATACTGTAAGAGTATTGGTAGCGTTTAGAGAAAAGTAATATTACTTTTTTAAAGTCAATTCCTACTTTTAGCAATAAACCATAAAAAATCCATGCTGCTGACACAACTTGGGGGATATCATATTTTTAATTAATCACACCAACATGGGCATCAAATGAAAAGGCTTTATAAGTAGAATTTGGAACACTACGTTAAATCCAAGATGGCCGCCATTACTATCAGCAGTGTCAAATGTCAGATGATACAATTTCGTGCATTTTTGTAATTTTACACATTTTCATTTGTCATCCGCCATTTATATATGGCCCACCATAAAATAATGGAATTTTTATTTAGTTCCATACTCTGATCGCGCAGCCCAATGATTTTGTGGCGGCGGTCATCTTGTATTTACCACTGAATATAAAAAAATGCTTTAATTAGGACTAAAGGTGGGCACCAAATTTCGGGAAAATCTGCAACGTGAAGTATGTCACATTCGCTTCTCATGAACATTTTAATATATGTACGTATTGCAATGACAAGTTTTCGGCCTAATTGCATATAACCGAGAAAAAAATTCAATTACTCCAGTGTTCTTTTCTTTGTACTGGAAGTAGATACAAGCAATGATATGCTAAGGTTAAAGTTCTTTTATATGTAAACATTGATATCTATCGGTTTTATTGCTTGTGAGAATTTCTTATCAGTTATCATGAGGGATGTTTATCGCATATGAAGACAATAGGCTAAATAGATAGTTTTGAGATAATTTAGCGAAAGGCGTATTTTAATATGTTTTGTTCTACAAACATAATTTCGAAGGATTAATTGCTGTTTGTTTTATCATAACTTAAGAAAATATTAATCAGATTATACTACTGTGTCTTGCACCTAGACGTTTATTAATACGTAGGCAAGCATAGACAAGGAAAATAATTCTTTAAATTCATCCCCCAAGGAGAGTCTGCTAGTACATGTATGAATATGCCATTTATGACCGTGTTCAAATGATAACGTACTGGCGACCTGTTGGCCTATTGTTTTTATTTGGACTTGACATTGGTACAGATTAATTATTATTCCTATTGTACATTTATAATTAAATGATACGTTGACTAACTTTTGGTTGTTCATTAGTATTAACTTTCAAAGTAAAGTACGTTTTAATTGAAAAGTCGTGGTCAACAATTAAAATACTTACTACATGGATAAATACGGCAAACAGTCTAATATGAATCGACAAGATATAAAAGAAATTTATTGTACCATATTGCCTTTTTAGGTATCCAAATAAGCACTTACGTTCATCCGAATTCCGAAGGATAAGCAGAGACTACATAAGAAAAGAGATTTAAGAAGTTATCTTATCTAATTTGATATAAATTATGTAAATTAAATTAAGAAATTTCTATTACTTAACTAAATATAAATATGATAATGCTCTTTATATACGTAATACCTATTTTAATTCTATTTTAAAAATGGATTGTTTGTGCAAAGTTCATGGGCTGATAACTAGGCATGTATCCTGATATTCCCTGCATTGAGTTCCCTGGCAATCATCATAAGTTATCGGGCCTAAAACTGACGTGGCAACGTGACCGAGTCGTTTCGTCAAACAGCCAGTTGCAGTCATTCCGCCGGTCGAGTCGGATGATTGTATTGAATGGTCAATATTAAATATTGACTAAAATCACGTGTCGTTTATTTAAATCGCGTTAAAATAAATGAATCGAATGATAACAAGTGTGTTATAATTTAATTGGCCTTCTTTTAAATGTAAGTTTTTTTTAATTATTTTTTGGCGCCAATATTATTAAATTATTTTTAAGCAGCGAGCATTTGCGATGTTATGAGGGAATCTAAAAAGCAAAGAAATTTGTCAATATATTTTTTATTAGTTGGAAACACTAGAATTAAAAAGGCAAAAGGTTGAATATAACTTATGAAGATGAAAGTAGAAGTTCTGTGAATTATTCATTACTTTCATTCTCATATTATTAAAAATTTATGAAACTTAGATTTACGAAGTACGTTTTTGAACTTTTTAAATCTATTTACTTTAACTTAACGTCCGTAAATTGCGGAATATTTCTTATACAGTAATAGTTATGTCTAAACAAATAACTTTTTTAATTTTACTTAAGTGTTACTTTTCGGAGGGTAGATGATTCTCTAGGAGCGGTTTCTATAATTATTCAAAATTAAAATAAGAAAAAAAATCATCAGAAATTTTATATCAATGTTTATAAACGTGGAAATAAAGAAAAAAGGTTAGCGTAATTGGTTAATTTTACTTTTTATTTTTTATGATCTTGATAACTTTTTCAATACCTAACTTCTAATCAATGTAATCTTTTATTAGCCTTTAGTTGGTTAAAGCAGTGATAACAGTTGAGTAATGTCAATCTGAGATTAGGATCGTGCTTGATTTTTTGTACAAATTATTTAGTTCGGTATAATTGTTTTGTTTTTGACTCATCTAGCATAGATCCAGCCAGTAATATATTTCTAGATAAATAAAAAAACGTCAAAATCGTTTGAAATGTTCTCGAATAATCGATTCTTTTATACATATTAAATTGATTTAAAACGCTATCTTAATAATTTTATAAATGCGCATGTTTGGAAGGATGGATGTTAGAACGTATTTCCAGAACGGCTGGATGTCTTTGAAATTTTGCATAAATTTTAAACATAACCTGGAAGAACTAATTAAGTTGTTTTTACTCCACGCGGATGCAGTTGCGGGCGATAGCTAGTTAAACATAAACAAAAGATACAAGGGTAAATTTTTTAACACCTTTATCTATACCGGTTGTTATCACGTGTACTATCAAACACTCATTGTTCTGAGGGCCTAGGATACAAAGAAGTCTTTCCTTAATCATTGTCCTTGTTAAATCTATTAACTGGAACTATAATGTCTATTGTTTTATTTATATTTAAGTTCATAATAATCATATTTATATATTACAAGTACTCGACCGCGACTTTGTTTAAGGAAAATTGACAATCTTTTTGACACAAACACGACTAGATGTCAGAGATTACACTTCGTTTAAATTTACTAATTATTTTGTATTTAACGTACACGATGGTTAATTTTCTGCATGGCATATGCAAACAAGCTGTTTTTACAACATAAATGACAAATGTAAAAAGAAGAAAATTTTACGAAATATACAATTGCCAATGTATGCAATGTCGAGGTAAAAAGTAACCATGGGTTTACACATAATCACCTCAGAATCTTCAGAGAGAGATGGCAATATGTATATTTCTATATAACATCTCTCTTACCGTTGGTTTCAGATTCCAAAATCTCTGTATAAAACATAATCTTCATCCCTGTCATTGTTTTTC